TCTTAACCATCGCGCCACTTGGCCGGCCCCAGATGCTTTTCTTACAACCCCATCACTGTTAAGAGATTTGGGTTTTAAATCAGTTTCAACTTCATTAATATATAATTTACATACCATAAAATGCACTCATTTAAATGCCTAGTTCCATAAGTTTTGTCAAATTAATACACTCATGTAACCATCAGGGGCATCTTATCACCCCAGAAAATTTCCTCAGATCAACCTAAGTCAATCCAGGATCCCTCCCCTCACCCCACTCTACAACCACTGATTGGGTTTCTATCACTATTGATGAGTTTTGCAGCAGCTTTTTAAACAAATATTCATCCCAGATTCTGCACAGAAAGGACTCTCCTACCAATAATAATAATAACCTCATGCTGCGTTATCTCATTCAGTCCTCTTCCTGACTTTGTTAGGTATTCTGTCAGTAAACCCATTTATAGATCAAGAGAGCGGGGCTTTGGAAGGTTAAATAATTTGCCCCAATTTATCAGTCTGTATAAGCGCCAGGACCAGCACCAGTCCCCAGTAGGACACATTCCCAGCCACACATGTGCACACGAGCACGTTTTCCATATAACTTCCAGGGGTTCACAGGACCCCACGTGCCCGTCCACGGTGCTGTGTTGCTCAGGGGTCTCCCCATAAGCCGTTGCCACTTCCCGTCTTTGGAATCCAGGTGGAGGATCTGATCGTGAAATACCGGAAAAAGAAGAAGACGGTGGCCGGGATCATCGTGGAACCCATCCAGTCCGAGGGCGGAGACAACCACGCATCTGATGACTTCTTCCGGAAGCTGAGAGACATCTCCAGGAAGGTCAGTGCGGGGGGCCAGGGTTGGACGGGGCCACCGGCTGTCTCCGGCTGGTTTCCTGGAACTCAGGGTTATAGCTTTGGGGTCCTTGTAAACTTTCAGGCATTCAGAGGCTGCCTGTCTGCCTCCCAGGTAGAAAGACTGGGGCCGAGGGCAGGGCAGGGCCCGAAATTCTTCCCTAACGTCTTAGTGCAAAAACCAGCTGCCTGTCATCTTTGTGGGGAACTTCTGTAATCAAGAGATTCCTTGGGAAGGCCTCAGCCTCCATCCTTTTCTTTCTAGAGCCCCCAGCCTGGTGTGGTCCACATTCAACAGAGGCAAAGACTTTACGTTAATATCGTGTGTTCATTTTAATGTATCTTGCACATACAACCGGCACATCCAACCAGCAAGTTCACAGATAAAGGTTATATGACATGAGTTGATTTAAACACAAATACTAAGTAAATAATAGCCTGGGTGACGAGCAGCGCTGACAAACATGGTGACGGAAGTTTGGGAAAGCGCTAGGCCTCACTGCTGGGCCACGTCCCCTCCTAAGTCGGCTTGCTCAGGGACTGGGACAGATGACGTGCTGCTGTACTTTGGTCCAGGGGATATTCGATGTGCCAGCTGGGTTCCAGCTCAGCAGGTTGGAGGAATCATTAGACACCGCTCTGGTGGAACTGCCTTCTTAAGTGTTTGTCGAGTTTTTCCCAGGAACATGGGGCGTGGCTTGCAGTTCAGAAAGCCAGGACTCTTCGGCTGGACGCGGGGGTCCAAGCTTGGCCGGTTGTGGTGGGTGTTTATTTCTCCTTCCTCTCCCTCCAGCATGGCTGTGCCTTCCTGGTGGATGAGGTCCAGACGGGAGGGGGCTGCACCGGCAAGTTCTGGGCCCACGAGCACTGGGGCTTGGACGACCCTGCAGATGTGATGACCTTTAGCAAGAAGATGATGACGGGGGGTTTCTTCCACAAGGAGGAGTTCAGGCCCAATGCTGTGAGTGCTGACCCCACCCTCCCCTCCTTTGCAGGGCAGGGGAGGGAGGCAGGCAAAGGAGCTTTGCTTTCTCCTCACTGATCCCTCTCACAAACGAGGCACTGAGTGGACACGTTAAAGTGTCACATAGGTTCTCTAAGGCCCACTTCATATCGATTTAATTAGCCAATGGGATCACCCCTGCTCTCTCGGCAGGGCTGCCTTCATAGCAGTCCATTGTCAGTCTCCGCATTTTTCTCTGTGTGCTCATATAATCATATTGTTCATAGCTTCTGCTGTGAACTGAGCATTCGCTCTGTGCCTGACCTAGTTCTAAGCACTCCTCGTGTATTTTTAATCCTTACAACAATCTAACCAAGTAGGTGTTATTTTTCTCTCCCATTTCACCAATGAGGAATCAGGCACAAATTGGTTAAGTAAAGTGTCCAAGGTCACACAGCCTGGTAAATGACAAAGCCAGGATTCAAACCCGGAGCCCATGCTCTTAACCACTATACTGTACTACCACATGTACATATGGATTCACACACACACACACACACACACACACACACACTCACACACAGAGTCATCAGGGGTTTAGGATCCTTCCTTCTACCATTCCTGTATGTAGTTTCCACCCTCGGGGTTTCCTCATGGTCCAAAATGGCTACTGGAGCTCCAGCCTTCGCATCTCAACTCTAGATAGTAGAAAGGAAGGAAGCACCAAGTGGCCCACTCCTTGTCTTCAGCAGCCTTTTCAGAAATCCCACGGTACTTCTATTTCTAACAGTTTGACTCAGATCTGGTCACATGGCCACTCCTAACCGCAAGAGAGGTTGGGAAGCATGCTTTAGTTGGCTGCATCGAATAATTCATGGAGAAATAAATTAGGTGGTCAAACTGCCATCGATCGGCTCCTGAGTCCACCACCTGTGAGCTGCTTTATTTTCCCGGGACAAATCACTTAACCTCTCAGAACCTTAGCTTCCTTTTTTATAAAATGAAGATGATATCCAAGGGCCCACTATCTTGATTTCTCCAGGACTGAGGGATTTCCCAGCACGCAGATGAGTTAGTCTCCCTAAGAGTCATACCATTAGGCATACCTCCATATGGGGTTGTTGTAATGGAAAGAATTCAATGAGATAATACATGTTATCCTCCCAGCCCTTAGTTGATGCTCCCTGGGTTAGTTTCTTTCCCTTAAAGGGGGCACAAGGTGTATCTGAGGGAAGTGGGGGCCTCCTCAGGGTGTGCCATGTGTGAACCGGACACCCCGGGCCTCGTTCCAGCCTTACCGGATCTTCAACACCTGGCTGGGGGACCCATCCAAGAACCTGCTGCTGGCCGAGGTCATCAATGTCATCAAGCGGGAGGACCTGCTGAATAATGCCGCCCATGCCGGGAAGGCCCTGCTCACCGGGCTACTGGACCTCCAGGTACCTGCCCCCCAACTTGGCCTGGGCCCACCCCAGCTCTCCCAGGACCCCAGGTCAGCGTCTGAGCTCTACAGAATGGCATCCCTCCAGCTCCAGGGACCGCCCTCCGCCCCCAGGCAAGGCTGTCCAATTCAGCGAATTATTGAACACAGGACACCCAGTTGAATTTGAAAAACAGCGACTTTATTTTTAACATAAACGTAGACACATCATGCACCATTTGGGACACACTTATACTAAAAAGGTGTAAATTGTTTATCCGAAATTACAGTTTACCTGGGCATCCTGTATTGTCTTTGGCAACCCTAACTCAGAACAATTTGAAATTAGGAAAATGGGATTATCCTCATTTTCTGGATGAGAAAAGGGAGACGTGGGACAGGAGCCAGGTTCTAAACCCAGATCTGCCCGATGGCAAAGACTCTGAAGGAGTTAAGTGTGGCTGTTATGACAGTTAAGACCCTCTGGCTGGAATTTGGTTTTCTTGGGCTGTATTTGCATTTAAACTGAGGCTGGGGTAGGGGCAGGCACTAGAAAAAGCCTCTGCGATGGGTCAGGCCTTTCCTCCCTGCTGGGGCGCTCCTCCACGGTGGGCCAGTGGGGCAGAAGTGACAGGCGTCCATTACGTCCCTGGGAGCCATCTGGGCCCAGCTTGCAGGGGCCGGGGCTTGGAGGGAGCTGGTTGTTCTGGGCTGTCACAAGTGCGGCTGCTCCCTGTCCTGAGCTGAGCAGACTTCCCGCGAGCTCTGAGGTCCACGCAGACCGTGGATAGCAGCCTACCCGGGGAGCGAAGCTCAGGCCAGGCTCTCATGATCAGTAGCGACAGATAGGCAGAGTTCACAGCCTGGCAAGGGACAGGGTTGGCACTCAAAGAAGGCAGCACTGGCTGGGATGGAAGAGAAACAAAAGCGTTCAGACCTCTGCGGCGTCCCTTGATAGGTGAGTGGGTGAGCAATGGGAGAGTCACAGATGGCAAGATAGCTGTGTGGCTCAGGAAGAAACAGGAACACAGGCATCGGGACCCGTGAGTGATGTCGTACTACACCAGAGGAGCAAGGCCTCGGGCGAAAGAATGCCAGGAAGGTTTTCTTTGTCCTTCTAGTAATGTCCCAGTTGATGCCACTACCACCCTTAGTCACAAGGGTGTGTTCTGGAGGACAAGGCAGCTTGCAGGTCCCTGATCAAGGCAGCCTGGCTCTGAAAAGGGGTGTGGAGCACGGTGCTCCCCAAAGTGGGTTCCATGTGCAGGACGGTGCCACCAAAAAGCCTTCCATGGGAGCATCCCAGAGCCAAGACTGGCATCTTGCTTTTAGGAGACCTGAGCTGCTCATTTAAAGGGGTGGGAGCAGTCAGGGGGCCTTATCAGGGCCTTCCAACGTTATAGACAAGAAGCGGGTGAGATTACAGGGCCACTCTAAAACAATGAGCAAGGCACATGGGTGAGACTAAAGGGCGCAGGCCTAGAGACAGCAATCGAAGCCCTACAGTGAGGAGGGGACAGGGAGGTCCCACGGTCATGTATTAATTAATCAAGTTGACAGTTACTAGGCCTGTTTGAGTGTGTGTGTGTGTGTGTGTGTGTGAGAGAGAGAGAGAGAGAGAGAGAGAGAGAGAGAGAGAGAGAGAGTGAGAGAGAGAGAAGGGCCCCAAGCATGAGTGAGACCTTGTTCTCGGCCTCCACTCTGTTGGGAGAGAGCATCCAAATCCCTGGCTCCCAGCCAACCAGCAAGCGCAAGAACGCGCACAGTGAGTGCTAGAGTGACTTCTGTGCCTCAGTTCCCTCACCTGTGGAGATCAACATGGGCCCTTTGCTAGTGGAGTGAGGATTCAAGGTCAGGCGTGTAAGTGCCTAGTCCAGTGCCTGGCATATATGTGGGGCCTCTACTATCACCAGAATATAACTTGATCTCCAGTTTCTCCCACGGAGCTGTAACAAAATGACATGTGCCCCCCCCCCGCCTCCCTGTCTCTGTCCCTGGTACCTGAAATTATTTTGGGTTATCCAAGCCTATTTGCTGTCCTTCGCATGGACAATGGAGAGTGAGGAAGAACCAGACCCTCTACTCTGGGTGACTGTTCACTTCCTGAGGCTGCTGGGTGGCAAAAAACAAGAATTTATTCTCTTACCATTCTGGAAGCCAGAAATCTGAAATCAAGAGCTCAGTATCGTTGATTCTTTCCGGAGGCTCTGAGAGAGAGTCCACCCAAGGCCTGTCTCCTGGATCCTCGTGGCTACCGGCAGTCCTTGGCATTCACTCGTCTCTGCCTCATTGTCACACAGCTTTCTGCCCTCTGTCACATGCCTGTGTCCACACTTTGCTCTTCTTATAAGGATGCCCGTCGTTGGATGTAGGGCCTACCCTACTCCAGTTTGGCCTCATCTACACCTAACTACATCGGCAAAGACCCTATTCCAAACAAGGTCACGTTCACAGGTTCCAGCTGGACATGAACTTGGGGAGGGGAGGAACCATTCATTCCAGTGAAACCCTTAACCTCAAAGTCTTGAGTGAGGATGAGCTGTTTTCCTCCTAGAAGAATCACCACTTTTCTAGAAAGAGAGCTAATAAATGAAGATGGCTGACATCTATTGAGCACCTACCGAGTGCCAGGCCCTAGACTTAAGACTTAGAAACCTTGTCTCACCAAATTCTCACCACAGCGCATTGAGGTCAATAGCATTCATATCCTTCAGTTTACAGAAGAGGACGCTGAGTCACAAGCCACTTAAGATTCACCCAAGGTCGCACAGTGAGAAAAAGGCTGAGCAGGGTTTTGAACCCAGGACTGGATGTCTCCAGGGCCAGAGCCCTGAACCCCACAGTGGTCCTGCCAATCCATGCAGAGGCCCATAGGCTGGCCCCAGGGGGTATATGAAGTGGCTGCTACACAGGTGACAGGCTTCAATTCCAGCCTTGTCTCCCCCGCTGCAGGCCCGGTACCCCCAGTTCATCAGCAGAGTGAGAGGACGAGGCACATTCTGCTCCTTTGACACTCCAGATGAGTCCATCCGGAATAAACTCATTTTGATAGCCAGAAACAAAGGTAAGGCGGCCCGGAATGTTACCTGGTGTGGGGGGACAGGTGGGACACAGGACTAGAAACAGTCTGAACGCTTTTTCTCAGAAGAAGAGAAAGTTACCATCAGGATTTCCTCGTACAGTTATTTATTCATGTGAAAATATTCACTGAGGTGAAGGACACCCCTGGGGAGAGTCACGATGATGAACAAGGCCATTGGTGTCCCCTCCTCCAAGGAGCTAACAGTCTAGCAGGAAGGGGTGACATTAAAGGGACTCTTTCATAAACAACAGATTGCAGTTATAAATCTGAGGAAGGAGGAAAAGGGGCTCAGAGAGTAAATAGCTGGGGAAAGTGTCCAGGAAATCAGCGAAGGCTTCCTTTGCGGAAGTGACATTTTACCTAAGTCTTGATGGGTGGACAGGGGTTGGCCCGGTGCAGAAAGTCAGGAAGAGCATCCCAGGCCGAGGGAGGGATGTGTGCAATGAGCTGAGGCTGAAGGGAGCCTACAGGGCTGGAGAAACCGAAAGGATGGAGTGCGATGAGGGACCAATGGGACTGGAGGTGCTGCCAGGCCCACGTCCGCCTGTGGATCAGGTTCAAGATTCTGGACGTTTTTTCTAAGAGCCATGGGAAGCCGTGGAAGAGTTGTAAGCTGGAGTGGTGGGGTGGGGGTGGCAGGGTATTGTGATGAGGTAAGAGCACCTGTGGTGTCAAGCATGGTGTCTTTCATTTGTACCACCTTCTGGCACCCCTGCACCAGCCCTGAAGGGCAGGGGTGAAGCACGTCCTCATTAAAGGAGAAAACTCAGTCTCAGAGATGCTAAGCAACCGAGGCAAGGGCACCCAGCAAGTCAGTGGTGAAATTGCCCTTTAAAATAAGGGGCCCACCCCTCTTCCTGACTGCTCTGCCCCACAGACATGCTTCTGACCTGCTCCCCCCATTTGTAATTTACTTATTTTCTTTCCCCCCCGACACCATGAGTTTCTGGAAGGCGGGGACTTTAGCTCAGGACTTCTCTATCTCTAGACCTAGTTCAGACAGCAGGCATTCAAACTTGGAAGGAGGGAAGGAGGGACGAGAATGATGGAGGAGACGGATGAAGGGAGAGAGAAAAGGAATGGAGATGAATGGGTGGATGGAAGGAAGGACATGGGTGGGTGTGGTAGCCATGTTGTAGCACCCCCTCCCCCAACCCCCAGTTCTCTGAGCCTGACTCTAAGCCCCGCTCCTAACCAACTTCCTGCCATTTCTTTCAGGCGTGGTGTTGGGGGGCTGCGGGGACAAATCCATTCGTTTCCGTCCCACTCTGGTCTTCAGGGATCACCACGCACACCTGTTCCTCAATATTTTCAGTGACATCTTAGCCGACTTCAAGTAACAAAGCCATTTCCACTACGCTCTGGGGAAGCCCCGATCTCAACAGTTGTCAAATTGATTAGTTTGCCTAATTCATGTTTTCACTTAAAGGATCAGAGGTGGATGCATCAATGGAAGGGTGGTAGGTGGGGAGGGGACGTTTTTTGGTGGCTTGTGGGGAGGGGTGAGAAGGGGGTGCTGGTTTGGGTTTTCCTCCCTGCAGAGCCAATGGTGCCCCTTGGTTTAAGCCCAGAAATTCTGCTTGAGCCCCGGACAGTCTCATGATGGGTCATGAGAGTTGTGGCCATATATGTCTGCCCTTGACCCCAACAATTTCTTTGGAAGCCAGTAAAGGGAATGACACCTGCTCCTGGGACTGATGGCTGGGTCTCCTGGGTCCTTCTCAAGTGCCATATTCTGTGGTCAAGGATGCTGGCTCCCTCGCAAACAAACATGCCCGCCCCCTCTCACCCAGCTCCCGGAGCTCTGAACATGTCTCATGCACAGTTCAATGAAGGACAGGACCGATCATACGAAGGCAGGACAGTGGGGACATTAGGACTGAGCCAGGCCTCCTGAAGCCTTGGACCACGCCTCTCAGCGCATCTGGGGGTTCCTCTAAACTGTGAATTCTGTCCTTGACGGAGCTTTGCCCTTGGAGAATCTCCAGGTGGCATCACTGATGGTTCTTACTTGCCATCCTCCATTCCCCAAACTGTTAAATTCCCCTCTGTTAAATGTCAAACCGAGACCTCTGGGAAGAAAACTGCAGCGTGAGCAGGGGGCACAAAAGGTCACAAGCACAAGCCAGTCTCCCAGGAGCATGAGCCCAGGGCCTGGGGCGACTTCCTCCTGTCTCCCAGGTGTCTGGGGTCTGCCTTTTGGACCCCTCGCCCAGGAGGCTCTTTCTCTAGCTTTGGTTCATGCACCTTTGCTCCACTTCTGAGCAGCCCTAGGAATAGCTTTGCTGTCCCATCAGACCAGTCAGTTACTAAATTAGATTTCTTCTCGAGGGAAGCGTCATGAATTAAAGGCACCAGAGTTCCGTGCAGGGAAAAAAAAAAAAAACCAGCCTGTTGGCTCAAGGCGGTTTCCTTGCACCTTGCCACTCCAAATTAGAGATTTTCCTGCCGTGAATGAGTGTGGAGATTACCAGGCACCTAGTACTTAAAGGCTTCATTGCACTATGGCTGAGGCATCTGGTAGTCCTACAGCAATAAAGGATTGTTTAGTGACAGTTTGGCTTGTGTTCTGTCCAGAAGGAAGGCCACTTCATCTCCCAGTGCCTTGGTTGACCGTCTGGGGAGATGAGCATTTCAAAGGCCTCCATTCAGCACTTCGCTCTTTTAGTAACTAATCATCCAAAGACCTCAAAGGGATTTTTTTTTTCAGCTTCCACTCTTCATCAAACTTGGTCATCGACCTGTTTTTGTTGAGAACGGAAAGGCACGAACATGTCTAACAGACACAGACAGATCCATGAATTCACTTTGCATCCTTGAAGTCAGGGCTAACCCGTTGCATTAAAGGCATTCCACAGTGTTTCCTTATTCAATAATTCATTCATGAAACTTGCATTAATTACCTGCCCTGTCCCAGGCCCAGTGCCGAGCACTAGGAGGACAAACCTGAAATAAAACATAGTCCCTGCTCTCGAGGGATTCACAATCTACTGTGCACAACAGACTCTTAAGCCAACAATGAAAGCTGAGTGGCAAGTGCTGTAACAGAGGTATTTGTAGAAGCATCAGGAAATTGGAAGGAGTGCCCTAATCCGCCTAAGGGAGGTTTCAAGGAGACAGTGACATTTGAGCAAGGTTTTGCAGAATGAGCAGGAGTTCGCCAAACAGACAAGGCAAGGAAGAGTGTTGCAGAAAGGGAACAGCATATGCAAAGACACATCAGTTCTCACACCTTTCTCGGGGGATCCGGATTCCACAGGCAGTAGCCCAAAATTCAAGGCCTTATTTAACAAACAAGCAAAATGCAAACCAAACCATAATGCATATTTATTGGTGTGGGTATGCGTTCTCCTGAGAACTGTGGCACTGGATGCAAACACACAGTAAGGTTCCTGGAACCCAGAAGGGTTTTAATCCAGGGCACAACCAGAAACGTGGCTCTTTGGTGGAGAGAGTGGCTCCAATATTTTGTTCTCTCCCCAGGGGGAATTAACAGAGAAGTGAAACCACTTTATCTGGAAAGTCATTTCCAGACTTATTCAGTCCTTACCAAAGGGAAGTTATTCTCGTAAAACTTTTTAAGCCATTTATCAAGTTCTTGTTGACTCAGGGCATGACGAGTTCCTGAGACATCTGCTTTTGGGGGTGGGGGAGCCTAGCTGGAAGAATGTCATGGAAAAGAATTCTCAGCAGAGCTCAAGATTCGTAGGAACTGGAAGAAGGTTGGTGAAAAGACAGCGGACCCGGCAGACAGGTCGCCGTCGAGGGCAGAGCCCAGGGAGAAGCGCTTCTGTGGCCGACGGTCTGGAAGTGAATCCATCATACATTAGTGCTATAGAGTTTAGTGAATGTCTCTAGCAAACCTTGTCACTTTTATAGAAAACAAGGTCCAGTGATATAGCAAGTCTTAGCACATCCTCCCTTTTATTATAAATGGGTGTTTTTTATAATTTTTACTGACACTCAGTAACCATGCAAAATTGTGCACAACATTTATCTATCTATCTATCTATCTATCTATCTATCTATCTATCTATCTATCAGCTCATGGTAAAAAACCATAGCTAGGAAGCATCAGCGACTTACGCATACAAAGTGATCTTGTTTACAGTATTCTGTTGAGAGTGCCAATAAATGATAAATTAACATGTCACAATGTAACCGATGACCAGATGCACAATTCCATGAATTAAATGTGTTTCCCTTGTTAATCACTATTGTTAAATTTAAAAAAAATATATTTATAATGGAAACCTCAGGGTGAATGTGGCCTTTTTGGTTGGAAATGGTTAAGTCATTATCTGGTAAGTAGTTATTAAGCACCAATTATATACGTCTTAGGGATGTCTTGGGGGGAACACTCTACCTGCATAAGTCTGCGTTGGGTTCGGGAAGCATGGTGAGGCTGTTAATGTCACCAGAGTGCATCAAGGACATACCACGTGATAGGGATGGACAAGGTGTGCCCCTTACCCTCAGCTCACCTTTTAGTGGGGCAGAGGTCACAGCAACCCAGCGTAAGGACCAGGATGCAGGAAGACCCGGGAGGCTGTATGTGCACAAAGGGCAGGCCCCGCGTTGTTGGGGTGGAAGTTGGACCCGAGTTTCATCTTCAAGGGTGACTCAGAGGAGGGAGGGAAGGCATTGCAGAGCAAGAAAGTAGCTAACTGAAAGGCACGGAGGCAGGAGGCAGGTCTACATTGTTCAGCATTACTAGATCACAAAGGGAGGGAGACGAGAAGAGCTGGAAGAAAACGCCAGGGAAACAGGCAGGACTCGGATCCGAGGCGCTTTCTGTGCCATGCTGAGGGCCTTCCATGCAGTGATGGAGCCACCCAAGGTCTGGAGCAGAGGGATACTCTGACGTGCGATTTAGGAAGATTGTCCTGGGCTGGCTGAGTAGCTCAGTTGGTTAGGAGCACGAGCACTGAGCAACAGGGTCGCCGGTTCGATTCCCACATGGGCCAGTGAGCTGAGCCCGAGCTGAGCTGCCAACATGTGGCAGGATGGCTCAGCTGGTGAGAGCACATGCTCTTAACAGGTTGCTGGTTCGACTCCCGCATGGGATGGTGGGCTACCCCCACCCGCAACTAAGATTGAACACGGCACCTTGAGCTGAGCTGTCACGAGCTGCCGACAGGCGGCCGGATGGTGACTGGACTTGGAGCTGAGCTAGCTGCGCCCTCCACAACTAATATGGAAGGACAACAACTTGGCTGTTCCCCTTCCCCAATTCCCCAATAAAATCTTGGAAGGGAGGGAGGGAAAAGAAAGAAAGGTTGTCCCGAGTACATGCTCACTGTGACAAACAGCGAGGCGGGGAGACCGGTTGGGACTCTATCACAATCAAGATGACCTTGTGGCCTGACTAGGACAACGATAATGGGATGAATGGAGAAGGGGAAAAAAGCTCAGAATCTACAACATTCAGGACAGTGACTTTCCACATTGGGTGCACTTTAGTCACCCTAAAGAGCTTTTTAAACAATCCCAAAGCTTGGGCCTCCCCCCCGACCAATTAAATCAGACTCTCTCAGTCAACTGAGGTGGTAAGTTGATGCCCACCTCAATGGGGAGGCACAGGAGAGGTGCTTGGTAAGCACCTGTGGCAGTTAGCTGGCCTCTCACCCTCCTGGTGTCCTGGCCCAGGAGTGGGGATCATGGGCTCCTGTCTCACTTCTGCTCCCAGCTGTCTCAGCGGGCCTCGATCCACCCATATTTTTCTCACCTGGAAAACATATGGTTTGGATCACAGGATTTCGAGGTTCCTTCCAGCTCGGACATCCCAACATGTCTATGAAACAACGGACTTGGAAGGCATTAGCTACCATTAAATGTATTTTGTAAATAATCAGAGTGGTAATTATCATTTGTTGAGCATCTGTAATGTGCAAGCATATTCTACTGGTGCTTTATAATTCTCACAACAAACCTATGAACTGTGTATTTGTATGCCTATTTTTAAGATGAGGAAACTGAAGCTCCGCGAGGTTAGAGGAACCTGCCCCAAATCACGCAGCTCAGAAGCCAGAATACACACAGAGGAAAGATGATGTACTAGCGTGTACACAAGTGTGTGTGTGTGTGTGTGTGTGTGTGTGTGTGTGTGTGTGCGCACAGTCAGGGTGGGCTTGGTTGAGGAGAGGGACTGTCAACACTCAAGGGCCTTTCTCCCAGCCAGCCTGGCCACCGGAACGTGGACTTGAACTGGTCAGCATCAGTGTGAGATCCGAAACACAACAGTCCTAAGGCGGGTGGGTGGAAGGTGCCAGAACCTCAAGGTCAAATACTCTGTAAAAAACAGTTTCTTATTTTCTGCCCTTCCTCCTCCGTGGGGAGGCAGATGGTATCGGCCCTGCCCGATTAACTCTCATCAGGCAAGATTTTACAGTTGAATGCTGCAGGATCAAAACAAGGCCATAAAAGTTGGACTCTGCCTGGGGTTCAAAGGGACCCCGTTGCTTTCCATTTGGGGACTCAAGTCCTGAAGTCAGAAAGCAGCCAAAGGAAAGCACCAACCCTAGTTATTTGGGTAATTCACCCCAGGTTGGTCCCACGAGCAGCTAAACCTTTCAGATCCGTTCTGGGGAGTGTATTAAGTGTCGTAATTCAGCAATGGGCCGGGGTGGGCTACCTGGCCCAAGAGCTAGGGAAGTCTCATTTTTGGTAACGGCTGTAGCAAGGACAGTGGCTGTCGGCCATGCACACCATGAACGTCCCCAGTTAGAGCCTGGTCTGGAGGACTCAAGTCAGCTCGGGCTGCTGTCACAAGATACCATAGACTGGGCAGCCTGAACTGCATTCACTTCTCACAGTTCTGGAGGCCTGACCTGAAGTCCATGGTTGGGTTCCTGGCGACGGCCTCTTCCTGGTTATGTCCTACCGTGGCTTTCCTTGTCTTCTTTTTAGAAGGACATTAATCCCTTCCTGAGGGCCTCACCCTCATGACGTCATCTAACCCTAATCATCTCCCAAAGGCCCCACCCTCCTCCAAACACCATCACATTGGGGGTGATAGTTTCAACATGAATTTTAGGGCGGACACAAACATTCAGTCCACAGCAACTACCGTATGAAAACTGACATGCTACAGACCACCCCAAGCTCTGCATCTAAATTATAAACAGTATGGAGAGGTGCCGAGTCCAAAAGGTTCTCAGCAGACAGGAAGGGACAGCCTACAAGGGACAAACTAGGCCACATCACTGATGCTTTCAGTGACTTGTTTCCTATTGTCAACTTAGCTTCCAAGTCCAGAGTGGGAATTCATGATTGAGAAACTTTTCTCTTTACCTAGAAAGCTGACATGAGGAGGAAAGAATGGAGAGAGAAACTGTTTATTACAGCGTTTTTCTTCATTTGTTATGGCAGATGCCAAGCCCATTATGAAAATTGTAAACAAACTAGGTTATAAAGTTAAAAGTCGAAGCTTTCCCTTCATCTCATCCACCCCCAATTCTCTCCCCAGAGGTAACCACTGTTAACAGTTTGCAATGTATGCATTTTTTTTTTCAAAACGCAAGATCACACAAAACTAGATTGTTCTGTGACTTGTTTATTCCATGTAACGTTACCCCATGATCACCTGTCCACGTCGGCAGATGGTTCAACCTCACTCTTTCCAAGGGCTGTGAAATATCCCCTAGTATTGGAGCCACCATTTTTACTTAACCACGTGGCCACCGATAGACAGTTTACTTCCAGTTCCGTGGTGCTATTGTTTTGTTTTGCCATTAGAAACATTCAGTGAACATCCTTTCTATGTATGCTTGGGTATTTCTATTAGGCCACTATTTTGGAATTGTTGTCAAAGGCAGAAACTGCAAATATACCCACCGCCTGAATCTAAAGACCACTTCCATTTTGCTGAGAAGCTGCTGCATGGCTTTGGGGTAGGGTATACCCCACACAAGGATCCTCAAAACTTGGGGTGCCTTGGAATGACCTAGGAAGCTTTTACCAGAATCTACAGGGGCTGAACACAGGCGAGTTTTGTTGTCTGTGCTGATGTTGATTTGGGGGTTTTTTGAATAGCTCCCAGGTGCTGCCCTACACGCGTTGCAGGAGCCCTAGCCCGACTGCCATTGTCACGTGGAGATCTATGACTTTAGCTCGGGAATAATGGGATGGACAATGCATTTGCTCTGTGTGCCCTCTGCTGGTACTGTGTAAGCAGAGTGTGCATCAAAGTGAAGGCTTTCATGCCAAGGCTGGTGAGAATCCAGCTCTCACCTCTCAGTGTGGTGAGACTTCAGGGCAGCGTTGTCAACCCAGGCTACACATGAAAATCACCTGGGGGACCTGGTCACTGGCCTGGGCAACAATATTTTTCAACAGCTCTCCAGGTGATTCTGCACGTGGAGCCAGGGTTTGAGAACCTATTCTTCAGGAAAAAATTGGCCCACGAACACAAAGTCCACAGAGGCATCCGATGGGAGAACCTAGACCTCTGCAGCGATCACAGTCCGGGCAGGGGAGCTGTGCTCTCTTGGGTGATACTGCTGCCCCAGTTGTTGTGCAGCTACCATCCTGGCAGAATGCAATGACCCAGCGCTGGGCTTCATTTCGAGTCCCGTCTGCTGCTGGGTCCACTGCACATCACCTCCGCATTAACTAACGCTTAATATTTGCTCCCGCCCGTTGAGTTTGCAAAGCACTTGACGTTTATTGTTTATTCTCACACCCCTCTCATGAGACAGGCAGGAGTTTCCATTTAAAAAATGCAAAACCAAGGTTCAGAGACTCACTTCCCTGCCCCAGGACAGGGAGTTAAGAACAGACAGAACCCAAGTCTTCTGAAGTCACAGAACCCAAGGCCTGTGCTTCCCTGGTCACCCCTCTTCCCACTTTACTGCACTGTATTGAGTGAAGCGGGCAGAGCTTCCTCCAGGAACTGGCTCTTAGCAGAAACTTCTGGCCAGTACCTAACAGAATGCCATACACAGCGCAGTTAGAATTTGCACTACGGGCCTCTTTCCTAAACTGGGTTACTGGCATCCGCCTTGTGAACTTCCTCATCCCCAAACACAAGTTCCCAGGGGCCCAGCGCCCAGACGTTCACTTGCGCGTGTCCAGCGCCCCAAACACCTGCGTGAACCGCTCTCGGTCCAGGATGCGTCCATAGCGCAGGCTGATGTAGAAGGTTTGCTTCCCACTGTACTGCTGGATCCGCATGAACAGCTCCTGGGGCCGGTCCTGGGTCTCTGCCAGGGGGATCACGTCGGCCACCGGGCAGTACGTGTCCTGCCGCCAGCCCCAGAAGGTCAGGTGGGCCACCCGCAGCATCGTGCCTGACTCGTTCACGTACAGGATACCCACCAGCCTCCGGAAGAAATAGCTCATCCAGCACAGCATGGTCAGGGCGAAGCCAGCTATCCCGCCCACGAGGCACAGGGAGTTGAGAGTCATGAGGCCCTGGGAGTACCAGTAGAAGCCAGGCGGCAGGGCCACCACCGTCAGGGCCGTCTGTGCCACCTTCAGCTGAGACAAGTACCCGAAGGCTCTGATGCCATCAAAACGGTAGACCATCTGGAACTTCTCTGTCTCTGTGCCTGGTGGCTTCTCCTTCGAGGTGGCCAGCCTGCTCCCCACCCACTTCCTAGGATCCTGCCCATTGCGGCACCGCAGCCCATAGAGTGGCCTTCCCCACACAGTTGGCCCTGGCAACCGCGGCACAGCGCGGAGGAGGGCAGCCTGGAAGGGAGACAGGAGACCATTTCTATCAAGGAACTCAACCATGCCCATCACACAACCAACATCTGTAAAGATCTCACGCGGAGGCTCCCACCAACCCTGGAAGGTCACCACCGCTATCGCCAAAGACAGAAGGAAAGGCAAACCCGGATGCTTTACCTCCCGTGATCTTCACAAAAGCTGTGTGAGACAGGAACCACTACTTCCACTTTACCACTGAGGAAACTAAGCCCAGAGAAGGTAAGAAATTTACCCAAAGACACACAGCCAGTGAGTGGGGCAGAGTCTGGCTCTCACATTGGCCTCCTTCCTCCAGGCAGTTCACGTAGGTTCGGGAAAGGAGGTGCAGCCGTCATTCATTCAACAAATACCTAGGGGCCGGCCGAGTGGCGCGATGGTTAAGAACTGGCTTGGGATGCCAGAGGGCACCAGTTCGGATCCCACATATGAGGGCCAGTGACACTGCCCTCCACAGCTAAGATGCTGAACAACAGCTCAACCTGGAGCTGGGCTGCAGAGAGTTGCCTGCAACGGCGTAGGCTGCAGCCCCTGCTGCAGTGGGTTGCCATGGGCTACCGTATGTAGCCAGCATCCAGCATGAGCGGCCAATAGCCGCAGTGAGCGGCCGTCCAGAAGCCGGAGACTGATCTGCCTCGCCCGGGAAGAGCGCAATGATGGTGCCAACTTGGGCCAGTGAAGCAACGTCCTCCACAACTAGACTGAAGGACAAAAGGACAGCAACTTGTCTGTTCCCCTTCCCCTAAATCCCCAGCACTGTTCCCATCCCCCCAATTCCCCAATAAAATCGTTAAAAAAAAAAAAACCTAGGGAGAGCCAACTCTGGGCTGGGCCCTAGAACCATAAAGCTATGTGAACATTTCCCCAGGCGGGAAACTAAACAATCAATGTCCTAGTGGACAAGTCCGTGAGATACGTAGTATAATAACTTTCTGACTCTCTTGTCAGCTTCAAGCGTCATCTGGGTGCTAAAGAGAACTTGTGTTGTCTTAGCCTAGTTTGGGGAGGGGAGGAACGGAAGAGGAGGAAAAGATGGAGGCGCCAGAAGCACGAGGATTTTATTAGGGGCACAGTTCTACACCTTGCGCAGTGCAGTGAAAGATGTTTAGGCTGTGGAGCCAGATCTGAGTTCCAATCCTGACTCCTCAAGCTGTGCATCCTCGGGCAAGTGACTCCACTTCTCTGGGCCTCGGTTTCTTCCTCTTTGGAATGGGGATTCGGAACATACTGAATGAGATAATGGTCTTCAAGCCCTCAAGTGCACTTGATGGACTTGATGAACTTGGGACAAGGCGAGTGAGTGCTCAGTGCGTTTCACTTATCGCTACTGTTGACCCACGTGGCCTGAGCGCAGAGGAAGCCCGGGAATAACAAATCGTAACCCACGCCGGAGGCCTCTCCCGCGCGTTCCACGAATCACAACCCCAGGCGTCGGCCTGCCTGCCCCAGGCCTGACTCAGAGCCCCAAAGCGCATCAACTCCCTCAGCACCCACCATCCGCCTTCTTACCATGGCTCAGCTGCCAGCTGCCGGAAGTGAATCCCACCTGCGCCCGAGATCTCTAAGAGCGCATGCTCGGGCGACACAGGCCTGCGTGCGACGCACTGCATTCTGGGACTTGTAGTCCAGCGAGAATAGCTGCAGCTAGTGCCGGGCATTGTGGGAGTGGATGCTCCTTCTCCCGGCGTGCCCTGCGGCACGGAGGCCGAACCCGGAAGTTGTGGGTCGAGTTCCAGGTGCCAGCTCAGATGCAGCGTGGAATCTGGGGACATGGCTCCGCCCGGCCCAGTGCTCTGCCTCTTCGACGTGGACGGGACCCTGACGGCTCCGCGGCAGGTAGGCGATGCCCGGCGGGCTGGAGGCAAAAGGTGCACAGCCCCCTGCTGCTCCCAGACGGGGCCAACGACCGCCCCAGGGTGGGCGTGGAGGGGCGGCTAAGGACCGCCTACCTTTTCTGGCAGAGCTTGATGTCTATTCTGGGTGACCTGGACGGGTGAGACGGAAGACCTCAGTGTCGTGGTCGCGCGCGGGTGGTGAAAGAGTAGACAGCTGCAGCGGGTTTCTGTTAAGGAGAGAAGCACCGGCAGAGGAGTGGCGGGCGGTCAAGTCTAGAGTAGACAACTGTGCCGATGAGCAGGTGTGTTGGGGTTTTAATATTTTTCTATGCAGGGATGTAGGGTGCTTGTTAGCTTACAAGGGGGATTGCTACAGTTGGCTTCTTCTGGGAATCGTTCACTTCCCACAGCTAGCCCAGGGGCATTCAGAGCCACGCGGTTAGTTTTTAAGCCCGTTCCTTGGAAGCCCTGGGTTTGAACCCCCCGCAGCCCCTTACCAGCTGTGTGCCCTCCTCAGTCCTGTCACCTATGGGCGGTGCTTTGTAGCCTGTTATGAAAAACAGGTTTTTAGGTCAAACAGACCTAGTAGAGTCTCAGCTTTATCTCTTGACAGCTGTGTGACCTTGAGCAAGCTACTTAGCCTCAGCATCTAGGACTTTACATGGGGACGTTACCTGTTCCATGTGGTGTTTGTGAGGGTTGAATGAAATCAAACAAGTTCGTGAAAGCATCTTGGCTTATAGTGAGCTGTGTTCAATAATGGTTAATATTAGCTGCCACCATGACTCTCTTCTCCAGCCCCTAGAATGGGCTGAGGTGCTTCAGGAGACCTAGATTGTTACAGGCTGCCTGCTGAGGGCATCGTTCCTGGAAGTGACTCCTGGAAACGTGCTTCCCACATCCAGATTTTGCTGCTACAGGCACATGTAAATTTCAGTTGAGATCAACATTTGTGAGGAAGCACACACTGACCGCCCCCTTGCACGACCTGGTCACCGAACATCAGCCATTCGAACTTGAGACTGGGCCCCAGTGGCCTCACTATCTTAGTTTAGGCTGATTGGTAGCAGTGGTGTGCTCCGGAATTCCACATCAAATGTGTGTGACCTCAGACACGTCATTTCACTTTTCTGAGCCACATGTTTGATGTATCTAGTGAAGATATTCAACTGCAAGTTCTCCGAAGGCCCCCTTTCACTCTGAGAGTCAGTGACCAACGTACACGTATGGGTTGTCAAAAACCCATAGTAGGGGGCTGGCCAAGTGGCTCAGTTGGTTAAGAGCTCACTCATGAGTGTGAGCTCTGAGCAACAGGGTCGCCAGTTCGATTCATGGCCCGAGCTGAGCTGCCAACAGGTGGCAGGATGGCTCAGCTAAAAAAAATTTAAAAAATAAAAAAAGTAAAAAAACCATAGCGGTCTAGAGCAGGGGTCGGCAAACTGCGGCTCGCGAGCCACATGCATCTCTTTGGGGACGTCCATGTGGCCCCTGAAGGAAAATTGAAAATGAAAATAAAACTATCATAGTTTTATTTATAAAATTTTTAAAGGACATGATTCACATAATGGTGATTTCATTTGTTTTATGGCTCTCGAATAATTTTTGAATTGTTGTGACGGACAGGACTGGCTCTTCCATCTCAAAAGTTTGCCGACCCCTGATCTAGAGCCAAGCAAGTCATTGTACAGAGTCAGATAGCAGATACTTTTGTCTTTGCTGACCATATGGTCTGTAGTAACTACTCAGCTTTAATGCAAAAACAGCCATAGACCATACGTAGACACAGCGTGGCTGTGTTCCAGTAAAACGTTATTCATTTACTACAAAAACAGCTGCTCAATATGGCCCATGGGCTGTAATGGTCTAGGATTTATAGTCCAAGCCTCTTTACACAATATGATTGGATGCTCTCAAACTTTCTTCTTTCATCCCAGGTAGGATAGTTGTTGCTACTATTTTAAATATAAGGAAATTGAGACACGATTGTCGCTGGTCCGCAGGGCATTGTTATTTACTAAAGATAACCATTTTCTGCTGTTGTTCTAAGGTGGAAGCTATTCTGCTTGCTGGGTATGCCATTCAGGGAAGTGCTGTCACTCCCCAAAGGAATCAGGTTATATAAGCATAAGAAATGAAATAACAACGAAACCAGGCAACCCACAATGTATTCCCTTCAAACATTTGAAACATGACATTCTTGGCAGTGAAAATAAATAATTTCAACACTGAAAAAATCTGTAATTTCAAAGAGAGTTGATTCTATGTGCTGGGTACTCTTCATAAAAAGTAAAAATATTTTAGCAACAGATCTATTCATTATCCAGCCTTTCCCTTCCTTGATAACGTGCTTTCTCAAACATTGATAAGCACGATACAGTCTGGAAGCAGAAGGCTGGTTATCATTTCTTACAGCTACTAAAACCGGATATGACCTAAACAGGTAAATTCTAATTAGAATAGGGTCCTGAGCTTTGCCCATTTCACTGTTTTAATAGAATTCTTTTGTACTAAATACTTTCCTAAGAAATGCCATTCTATCTAAAAGCAGTTGAGCCTGCAGAAAGAAGGGAGACATAAACCTAGGTGAGTTGCTTTCCAGCTTTCTATCATGAAAAATTTCAAATACGCAGAATCACTGAAAAAAAAAAATTTAGGTTGGTGCAAAAGTAATTGCAGTTTTTGCATTGTTTGATATTGAAATACATTCTTAAATAAATGTTTATGTTATACATCATTTTGTGTATTTCTCGCTTTATGGGGTTTTTTTTTTGCTAATGACTTGTTACTTGCTGTTTATTTTATATGTATTTTAGACTATGGAAATGATGTTAGACAAAAAGCAAATTCAAACAATTTTCTTACTTGAGTTCAAAATGAGTCATAAAGCAGCTGAGACAACTCGAAACATCGGCAACACATTTGGCCAGGAACTGCTAACAAACATACCATGCAGTGGTGGTTCAGGAAGTTTTGCAAAGGAGATGAGAGCCCTAAAGATGAGTAGTGTAGTGGCCAGCCATCAGAAGTTGACAACAACCAATTAAGAGCAATCATCAAAGCTGATCCTCTTACAACTGCACGAGAAGTTGCCAAAGAACTCAACATCGACCATTCTATGGTCGTTGGGCATTTGAAGCAAAACGGAAAGGTGAAAAAGCTCAATAAGTGGGTGCCTCGTGAGCTGACCGCAAATCAAAAAAAAATCATCGTTTTGAAGTGTTGTCTTCTCATTCTGTGCAACAACAACGAGCCATTTCTCTATCGGATTGTGACGTGCAACGACAAGTGGATTTTATATAACAACTGGCAACAACCAGCTCAGTGGTTGGACCTAGAAGAAGCTCCAAAGCACTTCCCAAAGCCAAACTTGCACCAGAAAAAGGTCATGATCACTGTTTGGTGGACTGCTGCTGAATCACTATAGCTTCCTGAATCCCGGCAAAACCATTACATCTGACAAGTGTGCTCAGCAAAGCGATGAAAACTGAAAACTGCAACGCCGGCAGCCGGCATTGGTCAACAGAAAGGCCTCAATTCTTCTCCACGACAGTGCCCGACCTCACGTCATACAACCAGAGCTTCAAAAGTTGAACGAATTGGGCTACGAAGTTTTGCCTCATCCGCCATAGTCACCTGACCTCTCGCCAACCAACTACCACTTCTTCAAGCATCTCAACAACTTTTTGCAGGGAAAACGCTTCCACAACCAGCAGGATGCAGAAAATGCATTTCAAGAGTTCATCAAATCCCGAGGCACAGATTTTTACACTACAGGAATAAACAAACTTATTTCTCATTGTCAAAAATGTGTTGATTGTAATGGTTCCTATTTTGATTAATAAAGATGTGTTTGAGCCTAGTTATAATGATTTAAAATTCACGGCCCGAAACCGTACTTACTTTTGCACCAACCTAATAGTGCACAGAATAAACTATATCCTCACCACTTAAATTCAACAGTGGTTGACATTAACTTTGTCTTCTTTTTTTTTTAATCTTTGCTGTACCGCTTCCTAAGCTGCAGTCATCACGGTATTTCACCCCTAAATATTTGAGCCAGCATCTCTTGAGGACAAGGACATGCTATCATAACCACAGTATAATCATCACATGGAAGAAAACTACAACCAATTTGCTGGTATAATTTAATACCCTGAGACCAACAAAGTTTTTTCTCTAAAAGGCCAGATAGTAAGGAGTTGAGGCTTCGCAGGCCATGTGGCCGCTGTCACAACTACTCAACTCTGATGTTGTAACCAGAAGTGAATAGACGTGGTTGCATGCCAATCATACTTCACAGAAACAGGCAGCGGACTGATGGCCCACCGTTCCTATTTTGTTCCCTCTTCCTCTGTTCCAGTCAGTTTTCCTTAATCGTCCCCAAAAAAGTCTTTTATAATTGTTCGTTTGTTTTATCAGAAGGTGAATTTTTAACGTTTTTCCACCTTAATGTCAAGCTTTTGGATCTTTCTGATTTATGAAGAATTCCTTGTAATCATCAGCACAGGGAGTTATTTGGGGCCATCACAACAATATTGCTCTGAAGATCTCCCTCCTGTGATGGGATGTGGTTTAGATGCTCTGTTGTGGCCACAAGCAGCTGGGTCTTATTTCCTGTTAAAAAATATTTGCTGCCACTTCCTGACCATAGTACCATTTAGCTCATCAATGTGCACAAGGATTAAGATAAAATTTTACCCTTAGGCTTCTGTTTGCAGATGGAAGTGTTGCTGCTGTTGTTGTTAGTATTGCATTTTTAATATTTCGCCATCAAAGGAGTCTTCCCCACTTCCTCCCAATCTGCTGTCAAGTCTGAGTAAACCACTTGGGGGACTCAGAGCAAAGGTCATTGACCCATGGATGCTGTTAGTGCCATTGTAGTTTTTTGTCTAGTAGGTGGAGATTCCACTGGAAGATGGAGAAAAGATTGCACTCTTATTTAAGCCCCTCTGTAGAATTTTATTTTATCAATCATATGTATGTATGACTCGAAAAAAAAAATTTTTTTTAAGAAAAAGAGAAGATTACACTCTAGATGTTTATATGCTGAAGATGACTTAGCGGTTTTTTTGGCTTTTGTTTTTAATGTCTGCTAGCTTCATTTGTAAAGATATTGCATGTAAGTGTACAGTTAAGATTGCTAAAAGTAATAAAGTAAGACTTAAAAATTAATTGTGATTTGTCTTAATACAGGGATATCCTTTCATCTTAGTTTATAATTTGTTTTGAATTAGTACAGTTTGAAATTTAACAAGCATAAAATTATATTGTTGAAACCACTGTTTATAGAAAGAAGCATTTTTTTTACCAGAGACTAAAAATCCTAGGGACCCTTTAGGCTTTGTTTTTGTATAATTATGGTAAACCAGTTACAAACTTCCTCTTTAATCTGATTATGTTATTTTGTTTTCCAACCAACACCTTAAATCCATAAATGGAGTATAATGTAGCACTTGAAAGAAATGCACTGGATCTGTGTGGATGGGGTTTGGAATGATCATAACTTAATGCTGAAAAAGCAAGCCACTGCACAAGATATGGAATGAGTCTACTCATGTGTTTCAAAAAATAAGACCTGTTTCTATATGTGCATGTAGCCAAGTATGTAATGCATAGAAAAGTAGCTGGACCAGTACACAACAGCTGTTAACCTATCGTGTGTCTTACACGAGGTAAAAAGAAGTAAAATTTAACAAGTTTTTTTCTGGTAAGAAGTTGATGTCCTCAAATTATAGCTCAAATAGTTGGCCTTATCTCCAGGCCTTGAAACAGAATTGGCGTGTATGAACGTGTAAGGGTTGTATTAGCCTTGTGATTTTAGTCTCCTTGTTACTTTATGGCTTGTAACTGTTGTATTTTCCTTTTTGCAATGTAGAAAATTACCAAAGAAATGGATGACTTTCTACAAATCTTGAGGCAGAAGGTCAAAATTGGAGTCGTAGGTGGCTCGGACTTTGAGAAGGTGCAGGAGCAGCTGGGAAATGATGGTAAACTACACTTTGCCAGTTACATTTTGAGAAAACACTCACTTTTTTTTAAAGATTTTATTGGGGAATTGGGGAAGGGGAACAGTGTTGGGGAATTGGGGAAGGGGAACAGCCGAGTTGTTGTCCTTCAGTCTTAGTTGTGGACGGCGCAGCTAGCTCAGCTCCAAGTCCAGTCACCATCCAGGTGCCCGTTGGCAGCTTGCGGCCTCTCAGCTCAAGGTGCCCTGTTCAATCTTAGTTGTGGGTGGGCTTAGCCCACCATCCCATGCGGGAGTTGACCCGGAAACCTTGTTGCTAAGAGCGCATGCTGTAACCACTGAGCTATCCTGCCACCTGTTGGCAACTCAGCAGCAGCTCAGCTCGGGCGCAGCTCACTGGCCCATGTGGGAATCGAACTGGTGACCCTGTTGCTCAGAGCTCGCTCTCTAACCAACTGAGCCACTCGGCCGGCCCAGGATTCACTTCTTCTGGGGATATTGGGACCTGTGGCCGTGAGGTATCACAGGCAGCCCTAAGCCCTCATTCCCATGTGGCAGGATTCCTGCCTCCTTGTTTGGGGAAATAGTTTCTCTGTCTGTTTGTCTTCCTCTGTTTTTAATCCTGTAACTCAATTTCTAGAGTTGCCGATGGAGCACTTGATGCTCAGGTACATGGATTGATTCACCTAGAATCAATCTTCTCAACCTTCCTAATGCCGCGACCCCTTAATACAGTTCCTCATGTTGTGGTGACCTCCCAACCATAAAATTATTTTCGCTGCTACTCTATAACTGTAATTTTGCAACTGTTATGAATCGTCATGTAAATATCTTTTTGTTTTCCAATGGTCTTAGGCGACCCCTGTGAAAGGGTTATTTGACCCCCAAAGGGGTCGTGACCCACAGGTTGAGAACCACTGGTCTAGAAGGTTGTGTGTGTGTCTGTGTCTTTGCCTGGACTACTTGTCCCCATCCGCTGCCCTTCTAGCCTCAGCCTAGGCCCTGTGTCCTGATTGTCCTTGTCACCCAGGCATTGAGGTGCCCTCTGGGTCTAGGGGTCTCCTGTCTGTTTCCCTAACGCAGTGTTTCCCAGAGTTCCCTTAGTCATGAGTCGCCTGGGCTCCTCCCCCACCTACTGAACCCCAGGAAACTGGAGATGCTTATGGGCCCTTCATGGGAGAGAGTGACTGAACAGGTCCGCAGGGCCTGGAACCATATTTTAGCAACTATCCCCAGTAGATTCTAATGCCCAGTTCTGCTAATGTAATTAGCACTCTCTTAGTATTGGAAACTTGTCCGGTTATAAGTTTGTCTTAAAGACTCGACTGTGGATTATTCATCTCGTAGCCCCAGGGCCTCTGGGGTGCCTGGCCTATAAGAAAGAGTGGGTAGAGAGAGATGAATTCATCATTCTTTTCACCACTGTTGGCATTTTTGTAACTGAGCAGAGTTTGTCCACCCAGCGCTACAGAGAGCCAATTACGCTGACACCGGGGTGCAGTGAAAGAAATTGGCATTTATTATATAGCGCTGCACAGTGGGGTGTGAGCAGCATGCACTGGAAAAAGCCAAACTCCCCAATGGTTTACAGATAGGGGGTTTTATAGAGCAAAAGTCAGGTGTAAAGGGTTTAGGGTCATGGGCTTGTTGTTTGGTCGGTTTTTGTTTTTTATTAAAGTTTATTGGGGTGACAATGTAAAGTTACATAGGTTTCAGGTGTACAATTTTGTAATACATCATCCATATATCACATTGTGTGTTCACCACCCAGAGTCAGTTCTCCTTCCATCACCATATATTTGATCCCCTTTACCCTCATCTACCACCTGCTCCCCCCCTTACCCTCTGGTAACCACTAAACTATTGTCTGTGTCTATGAGTTTTTGTTTGTTTGTTTGTCTCATTCCTTTGTTGCTTTCAGTTTTATATAACAGTGAAATTATATGATTCTTGACTTTTCCTGTCTGACTTATTTTGCTTAGCGTAATAATCTCAAGATCCACCCATGTTGTCGCAGATTGGTCAGTTCTTGTGCAGGCTTCAGTGGTCTGATTTAGTCAGCTCCTGGCAGCAACCTGTTCGGGTCTACCTGACTGTGGCCAGGTGGTGGTGAGCAGAAGGAGAGGTCCATCCGGTCCATAGGCATGTTGAGGTTGTGAGTTAGTGACATTATCTTAAGAGCAGAAAGAAATGAACAGAGCTACCCGTTTCTTGCTTCACAGGCTACATTCTTCTGTTATCTTAAGCAGGGTATACCCTCGGAAACTTGCTACAGGCAGGCCTACAGGCCCCAGGACATGACTGCATTCCAGTGTAGCTGTGACCCTTAAGAATCATTTTAACTAAAAGCTAAATTCTAATAGTCTGTTACGATTTGCTGTCAGCTTCATTTTGGGCTGGATACTTCTCTGTTGTCGGGGGCCGTCCTGTGCATTGTGGGATATTGAGCGGCATCCCTGGCCTCTACCCACTGGATGCTAGTAGCACCCTCACCACCGGTGTAACAATCAAAAATGTCTCCAGACAATTCCGAAGTGTCCTCCAGAGGCAAAATCTGGATGTAGCATCTCACAGTCCAAATCCATATAGGCTGTATTTATTGGACTCGTTCCTGGAAGAATAATTTACGCATTCCCTTTAAAACTCTCCGTTTCCCTTACACTTGATTTTCCTTCTAGGCGCTCTGCTTAGAAATGCTGTAAACCACATAACAAGGCATGTGAAGCCCCAGAAACCTGTTACCTTGCCTTGGTTGCCCTTTCTGCCTCTGGTCATATATTTAACCCCAGACTCAGAAAGCCGTGGTGTCAGTGTAGGACATGTCCGTACATTTCAGAGCATGTGAGCCAAAACAACAATCACAACATTCACAAGCTGGAAGAAGGTTGAAGACCCACCTGTATCAGAATCATCTGCAGAGATACAGAGGTGGGGGCCCACCCAACACACAGAGCCTGGGAATCTGCATTTTAGCAGCACCTGATGTTTAAGAATCCGTTTAGAGTTATGGGCATGGTCTCCAAATCTGACTGCATGTAAGAATCACCTAAAGAGCTTTTTCTTTTTTTTAATCTGATTTTTAGCCTGGCCCCTGGAGATTCTGATTCAGAAAGCAGAGCCTGCAAATCTGCACTTTGTCCTCCCCGCCCTGGCAATGCTAACTCACAGGGAGCAATCACTGGCTCCTGTCTTCCTTTATAGACAGGCAGGCCAAGGCAGAGACATGAAATGACCCATCACCAAGTCTCTGATCTCCAGCCTAGTCATTATCTTTTAAATTTGTAATTAAGCACCTTTAAAAAAAAAAAATGGAAGGAGCTTTTTTCTACCCTCCCCGCACTGTGAAGCTAAGGTATTCTTTCACAGTCCTTGCTGGATTTTAGCAGTTTTATTGGTGTTGCATGTTAAGCAAGAAATAGTAACACAACGTTTCAATTCATTGCACTCTAAGTTTTCTTTTGTTTTGGTTGCAGTGGTCCAAAAATTTGATTATGTGTTTCCAGAAAATGGCTTGGTAGCATACAAAGATGGGAAACTCTTGTGTAAACAGGTAGGTTCTTGAGTATCCAAAGTACTATATACTACTAGGAAAATGTTTTCTGAAAAGATGCTTGACACTGAGTGCCTCTGGGAAGCATATTTGGGAGCTGAGAAGCAGCAGTGGAAATGAATCTTCACCCTGTATTTTTTACGTTTTGAATGTCAAACCATAGGACTATTACGTAGTCCAAATAGTATATTTATTTGTATAAATTTGTTAACTATATTTGTATAATTGCTTTTCAAGATACTTAATCTAATATTTCTATTATGATAGCGGAGACTAGGGCAGGCTGCTTCATTACAAGCATATTAGGAGATACTCTGTCACTCTTAAGAGTATTAAGATCATTCTGTTCAGACATAAGAGAGAGCCAGAGTGGAACAAATACATTTTCTGTCAGTATCTGTAGATATTTTAATTGAATAAAAGCAGCCGCGATAAACTCTTTGGGTCTCCTTCCATGAAGCATTTGAAAAAGGATGAATACAAACATCTTGACTAACAAGCAGAAAATGCGTTTGACTGAGCCCTTTCCCATTTGCCTAAAGTTGTCAGCCGGAGAACAAAGGGAAAGGAGGAAAAAGGCAGTGGGGCGGGTCACCCTCACTGCCATGTCAGCCTAGTGACCCAAGCGGAGCCCAGCCCGTTATGAACATATCTCCCGCTGAATCAAGTAACTCCAGTGTTTTCTTTATCTAGAATATTCAAGGTCACCTGGGTGAGGCCTTAATCCAAGATTTAATCAACTACTGTCTGAGCTACATTGCGAAAATTAAGCTCCCGAAGAAGAGGTGGGTTTGCTTTTAACAGAGCGTCTCCACTGGAGTATGTGGTGATGTCACCTGGTGGGCTGGTGCTCATTTAAGTCCGCAGCCCAGTGCTTAGTAAGGGATCAGTGGAAACCTTCCGTAAAGCCAGCAGTAGAAAAAATGATTATATAAACAATGGCGTGTCCACAGGATGGAAATGGAAAATGCTGTGCCTTCAGAGGCTGTCAGCTGGGGGAAATGCCTGTGAAACAGCAAGCTGAGAAAGGCAACATAAACCCCAGACCTGGAAGTCTCAAACTGGAGGCCCCCCCACACCAAATCCCCACACAAAGCCAGGTTTGGCTGGCCCACAGTATTCACTCTGAATTAATTGCTGTCATTTAAAGTCTGGTTTCACATTTTAAAATATCTGGATTTCTGGCTTCTCTTGCATCTGAAAACCTGGCAACTGGGTGCCCGTTCCTACGTGGCAGCACTGGACTAAGCAGCCTCCGTCCCTACCCCCGTCTTTCCCAGGCCACTGCTCTCATTTTTCTCACCTCTGTAGGCATTTGATTTGAGGACCTTCCCTTTGCTCTGGGTTCTGTTATCCCAAATCCCTTTTTAAAATAATAACAATAATGTACATACACGCCCACAGTGAAAAGATTGGCATGAAGTGGACCCATCTGCTAACATCAGCTGTTTCTTGGTAGCAAGGGTACAGGTGGTTTCTTTGAAAAACTTTTCACTTTGTTCTCAGTGCCCTGCACTTAATACATAACACCCGAATGATCAGGGGGAGAAACATTTTTTAAATGGCAATTAAACTTCAGGACATGCTGTACTCTCACGGCTGTCAGAATTGATGGGATATGTGCCCCTGCTCGGAGGGCAAGGGACTCCCCTTGTCACATCAATGGGGTTTGGATGAGACAGGCCAGACCCAGCCTGCAGCTGGGTGATGGATGGCTTGTGAAGGTTCCTGGTCCTGTTCTGTCCGCCTTTGTCTGTGTTAGAAATTCTCCATAGGAAAAAGGGAAAATGTGACGTATACCCCAGGTCAGCTGAGTCTTTACTTTGGACTAAGCATTAAGGAAGGGTTTTTTTTTTTTTTTAAAGATAAGGCAGAATCCTGTCATCAGAGAAGTTGTCATCTAGTGAGGTAGACCGATGTTTGCAGCTGTAATTACGAATTAGCATGAGATACCTGGTGAATTCGAGAGGCAGACCCACCTTGATCAGCGTTTGCCCACATTTCTTGGCAGCGCTAAGTAGGCCCCACATAGATCAGGCAGGCGCAGTAAGACTTCAGGGGCGAGTCAGAGAGACAGGCATCCTCTGCCTTGGGAATTGCCTGTTTATCCATCTGTAATGTTGCCCAAATAAATCGTGTGTTTCTGGGACCCCTGTCCCCTTTCCCTCTCCAGGGGGACTTTCATTGAATTCCGAAATGGGATGCTAAACGTGTCTCCTATTGGAAGAAGCTGCAGCCAAGACGAGCGTGTTGAGTTCTACGAACTGGATAAAGTGAGTCTTTCTGAAACCTCCTGGGTTTGTGTGAGCGTAAGATGTGCCGCTTTGTGGCCATAGCTGAAGGACACTTTTCTAAACCGCAACGCAATAGACAATCAGCATCTTTTTGTTTTTCTCAGAAAGAAAATATACGACAGAAATTTGTGGCGGACCTGCGGAAAGAGTTTGCAGGGAAAGGCCTCACGTTTTCCATAGGTATTGTATGTCCCACTGGGTTCAGGCTTTGCCAGGAGTTTGTGGTGGGCCAGTGCGTGCTTGAAATTGTGGACTGTGCCCAGTCTTAAGATGGGCAAGCGGGATTTGGGCGCAGTCCCTCTGTAGGGGAACACCAGCCTCCGGTGCCATCAGCCATGGCAGAGACTTGCCCAGCTAGGAAGTGACTTATTTCTCGCCTGCTGGGTTTGGTCAAAACAAGAGCATCTTGGGAAATTAGACTGGATATGTTCACATTCTGCTTGGGCAGCAAGGAAACTTAGAAGCCAGCTGGGTTGGTTCTACAAATGAAGAAACTGAGGCCCAGAAAGGAAAAGGGACTTACCTATGTTCGCCAAGCTTCTATTAACGCTGACCAGCACATGGGCGTTTTTGGTGGCTGATAGACTTCCTCCTGCAACACTCATCTCAGGCCCGTTTTTTTTGTTTGTTTGTTTCTTTTTTTTTTTTTTGGTAGAATATGTCTGTCGGATGCTTTCAGCAAGCTGATTTCTCCTGTCGGAGCTGATGAATCACTACCTAAAGCCCTCACATTTGACTAGTGCTAATATCGGGTTGTCGGAAAAGTCATGACTTTTCCGACAACCCAATAAATACTGGTTGTAGGGAAACTGGACTTGCGGAGGGAACATGTATAATAGATGAAGGGGTGGATTCTTAAGTATTCTTGAACTATGAGGTGAACGTCTTTCTGACAGAGCTTTGGAAGAGTTGTTGCCCGTGCAAGCTGCCTGTAAATCCCCTCCCGTGTGATTTTCATTGTTCTCGCAAGAGGGACTGGATGCTTCCTGGCATTCTCCACTGAGAGTGTGTTGAAGCTGGAGAAAGCACAACAGAATGAGGCTTTTAGTGGGTTCTTCCCCCAGCATGCTTCATTTAAACCCACCCGCCTAACAGCGCTTTAAAGCAAATGCATTTCTCATCCTCAGCTGATACTCCTTTTTAGATTGTAGGTGACATAATGTTGGAAAAACACAACGTGGGATGAATTTCTAGAACCCAGCCCTAAATTAGCGTTGTATTAAAAGTCATCTGTTGCTGACGAGAGTGAATTGCACCTGTTTTTCCAGTGACATGTCATTAGCCTCCTTTTCACCTTTAGCTTTTGTGTTTCCCTTTCCTGCTTGGCAGGAGGTCAGATCAGCTTTGACGTCTTTCCCGATGGATGGGACAAGAGGTATTGCCTGGGCCACGTGGAGAACGACGGCTATCAGACCATTTATTTCTTTGGAGACAAAACCATGCCAGTGAGTACGGAAGTGGTTTTGCAGTTTTGTTGTTCAGCTTGGGCTTGAAGGGAGAATGGACAAATGGGCTTTCTTCCCCCACCCCACCCCACCTACACTTGACTCAGCCGGCCCAGTTCAAACTGAGGGATGCTTCTGTCCTATGAGAGGGGTGTGATTAAGGCGGCCTCCCCTCCATGCTCAGACACCCGACACCTCTGGAGAATCGAGCCTTTCCGTTTAGCTTTTGAATTAAATAGTCCCCGCCTCAAGTGCCTACCAGAACACTTGTCCCAGTGCTGTCACAGTCTCTGCATTTCAGAGCTCTGGCCGTTTTTCTCCGCAGTGTTTTGTTTCCCAGGGGCATTCATTGCAGTTGGGCTCTAGTCCTCGACGATAGGCTGACAGGGAATCTCACAAGTCTGAAATTCAGGAGCAGGCACCAGGGACACCTAAGAGGTGAGGCGTCAGCCCTGGGCGTCCCACACGGCGTACAGGAGCTGTCCCCGGGGGTGTTGGAAATGCCTAGTCTGAGACTGAATCTGCACTGAGCAGAGCCCGCTGGTCAGGCCCAGCACCAGCAGGAGGAAGCCATCGGAAGCGTTTCCCCAGCCAGCATGGCTCCACTTGGGACAGGCAGGTCCCCAGGGAGGCGGGAGAGGTGTTGGACCCATTTTCACCGCCCAGCCTCGGGCTCAGCGTCTCCCTTCAAATTCCTCTCGCCCTCTGTGCCTTTCCTCTGTTCTCTCACATGCCGCCTGGTGCTGGTGGTTACCTGGGCCATATGCACCCAGCAGGTGCATCCTGAGTGCTGCCTGTCCAGAGGTTTTCATCCCTCTGCTCTCTGGTCCACTCCAAACTACTTGCTTTTCTGCTGAGGTCTACCCCGGGTAGACCTGCCTTTCCGCGGGATCCCCACATCGTCGTCTTCCTGCACGAAAGGGACTTCCGGATAGGACAGCCACATGTCCTCCTTTCGGAATTGTAAAATGGGGACTCAGAAAGGGTAAGCAGGTTGCCCAGGGTCACACAGCTAATGGCAGAGCTGGCGGCACCAGCACGGACTACCTGCTCGTTAAATGAGTGCGTTTTCCAGTCAACACACCCTCCCTCCAGCGGCCCAGGAAAGATCTTCTCCTGATTCCCAGACGACTGTGGTGCTTTTCAGGTTTATCAGCCTTTTTTCTCAATGACAGAATGGTTTATAATCACACCTTTCGTGGCAATGCTCTGCGTGCAGAAGTCCTTTGAATGCAGGCTTTGACAAAACCCACTGTCTGACTTGATGTCTTTAGAAAAAGTAAGCTCATGAAATTACACCCAGGGTCGAAGGAACGGCCAGCAGCTCTGTTTAGGCCTCCCAAGTTGGTGCCGTTTCTTACAGGCTGAGAAGAGAGCTCTCAGGCTAAAAGCGAGTTTTGTGAACAGATGACGGTTTTGCTCTGTGTAAATAGTCGTTGGAAGCCTCAGGTGGGACTTTCCAGAAAGGAATGTAGTCCTGGAGAGGATTGGAAAATGGCTTCTTTTGGAAACTCTTCATTAGGGAATTAGAGAGTTTTCTATTCTGTTTAACCACTGCCATGACCGCACTTTGGTGGTTTTTCTAAATTTAAACCTTTTTAAAAAAAAAATGGATACTATTCAGTGGAGGTGTTTTTACCCCTGATTCTTAAGTCATGTGCATTCATTGTCAAAAATTAGAAAAAGTATGAAGGAGGAAGTATAACTCACTTGTAGTCACAGCCGACATGCCTCCCAGCCTCCTCTCTGCATGGACAAGGTCCCAAATGTGGGGTCTCCGCCACCCCCCCACCCCGCCCACATGTTCACTGTTTGATTTTCCACTTTTGTTCCCTTACGTATGTTATTTCCCCCACGTTAGCGAGTCTTTGAAAATGATTTTGATGGCCGTATAACATTCTTCCATTTAGTCCTAGCTCATTTACCCGTTCCCCTAGCAGAGGCACTTTGGGATTGTGGTTTTTTGCTGTTGTAACTAACACTGGTCAACGTTCTCACATAAATTCTTTGCCCTCCTCTCTGATCCTTTGGGTCAGCGGTGTCCTGGAAATGGGACCGAACGGTCCAGCCATCCAAGCCTTTCAACAGCATATCAGCTCCTGACACTTCAGGCACAGAACAGTCGAATACCAGGCCGTCAGCCTCTTTTCATATTTGGGGATAGACATGTTGAAAGCTGTTTTCCCTCATTGTATTGAGGCAGATGTTTTCGCCGGCTCCCAGGGAAACGGCACCTCAGCTAAGAGCTGTCACTAAAAAGCCGTTCCCCTGCAGGCTCAGAAGCCTGCCTAACCACCTCCCCTCTCCCGGCCACACAGCCTCCGTCTGATGGGATCTGATGTCACACAAAGGGTATAAGATGTCGGCCCGCTTTCTAAATACTTGTCCGTCCTGGAAACCCCTCACCCTTCTCATCAGCCACAACAACGAGGGTCTGTTAAAACCCAGCCCTGAGTTCAGCTCGAAGTGGGCGGAGGGGACCTTGGTTTGCTGCGGGGAAGACGAGGACCAGGGCACGGAAGGACACTCCCCAGGCTGCTCCACGGGGCTCTCCAGGGGCTGCACCAGCCGCATCACCTGCAGGCTTTCTGAATGCTCAGGCAAGAGCTTCTGCTGGTCTGCCACTTGTTGTGAAAACGTCTCGGCTCTAAGGCATTTGCAGCATGAAAACATTCTAACATTTCGCGAACATGAAATTGACTCTGACTCAGCAGTTCCACCCTGAGTTGGACCAGGTTAGAGGTTCTGCACCCGGCTGAGGAGGCCCTGCTGGGTCCCCTGTGGGAGGACAAGAGGCTGGATGCACATGGGACCACGGGCTGCTGGGATTCACTGGGGTCCCTGCTGGCCTGCCTGCCCTCCGGACACCAGAACCCATGGCCTCATGGGTCCTGAGAACAGCACAGTGGCTGAGTGGACGAGCCCCGAGGAAGGAGCCGCCTCTGCCGCAGCTCTTGTGTTCAGGGAGGCACAGGCCTCGGGCCCCCTGGCATGAGTCTTCTGGTTTGGTCACTTGGTCCACAGAATCAGCATCTCCTGGGTGCGCTCCTGCGCCAAGGCACCTCGCACAGCTCTAAGCCCCGTTTATACACGAGGGGGTTGTGCCAGCGCTCCCGGCAGGCCCTGAGGCTCACCCCAGGGACAGCAGCCTGAGAGCCAGCTCGCTTTCCATCACGCCTCGGGCTAGTTCATCACCAGGTCCTAAGCCTCCGGTTCTCAGCCCTGAAGTGCATTAGAATCGCGTGGCGCTCTCAAACCCCCATGAGCCTCGGGCCTTTCATCTCTCTAAAGCATAAATGTTTACTGCTTTTTAGGAAAGTTTAGTACAGTTATCTAAGGGCATACATTTTCAAATCTATACGTTGTTTGTGACTGCTGTCATCCCCAGCTAACTGTCACACATGGAGAAGCCACATGCTGCCACCACGCCCATGCCCTCAAATCCACTCTTACCTCCTCGTGCCCTCGGGACCGACACCGCCGTGGCCCAGGGGACACTGGGCACCTTGCAGCACTTGCAGGCATCGCTCAGGAGCTCTGAAGACATCCTGGGCCGCTGGACCCAATATCTGTTATTCTTTCCCCAGCTTTAACTGAGGCCTTTGTAAAGCTTCCGCAGCAACTCACCTGCAGCCAGGGGAGAACCGCTGCTCTGGGCTCAGGGCAGAGCCCTCAGCTTTGTACCCAGCATACCTAGACGTTTGATAAATGCTTATTAAACCGACCAGATCAAAGTCCACAGGCAGCAATGAGTCTGAGCTCCAAGCTACAGAGAACCTGCCTGTGCCTTGGGCCAGTGTTCACGCAGCAAAGACCTCCTGGAAGTCGGCAGGCTCGCGAGCAGGGCACACAGGACAGGGGCACGCGTAACACCATGCCCTTTGTTGTCAACATCAGGATAGTCAGGGTTCACTACTGTGACAGTGTGCAGAGCTGGGGTGGGGTATGCTCCTCACCGCTCCCCCCTCCCAACCCCCCCACACACTGTCTGAACGTAGCAGACAGCCTTGTGTTTCATCCCGGCCTCGGCCTGGGAGGGATTTAAATATTCATGGGCCGTTTGCACTGAGCCTGTCCTCTGGGCCCATCACCTACACTCCGACAGAATACGGAATATGATACGGTCGGTCACTCCCTCGATCCTCTCTTGGGAACTGGCTTTTGTTTTGGATCTTGGAAGAGGCTGAGCTTCCTTGCTGGAGTCAGATAACCTTTGCTGCACATGCAGATCCGGTGTTTGAAGTTTCTGGTTGTCTGAGGCCTCATTATTCTAGAGGCTGCGCTCTCACTAGCTCAGTGTTTCGGCTCTGGGTCTGCTGCTCCTGACCTCGCTTGCTCCCACTCTGTGGTTTGCAAGCTCTGCAGCCTCAGGAAGAAGCACACGCCCCACCCCGTGCCTCCAGTCCCGAGGGAGGCAGCCGGGTGTCCTGGCGGGAGGGAAAGGATGGTCGAGGTTGGTGGGGCATGCACTGCAGACACTCCTGCCAGCTTCGCTGCCCTCTGAAAGCAAGCAAAGCTGAGAGGGGACCCGCAGCCCAGCCCAGCTGGGGGAGGTTTTGAGCCTCTGGACTGGCTCCCTTAAGTGCCGGTGAGTTACACAGCCGCTCCCACCCCACCCCAGCAGGACCATGGGAGACTCATGCCAAATTAGGCACCTGCCAGGTACACATGTCCCTGCGTGTGACGTCCTGGCAGCTGCCAACCCTTTTTGCTTGAGGTCGCTCTCCCTAGCTAGTGACTTCTGTCCTCACGTTGCACCCTGGCCGCCTGCAGGACCCTCTTAACTGCCCTACTTCCGTCTTTTCGTCCCTCATATCCCATCCAGTCTCCAGAAATATCCTGCTGTAGGTGACTCCTGGTGCGGTTTTCTGGTGGCTTCACAGAAAGTCCAAGGTCCTTAACCGTGACCTGCGAGGCTCTCGGGCCTGGCTCCTGCCTGCCCTTCCAGGCTTACCCAGCAGGTTCTTGAGAGCTGAGCTGCCGTCCCCAGAGGAGCCAGCCATGTGGCCTGTCCCCTCACTTCCTTCAGGTCGCTGCTCAAAGGCTCCACCCTTGTCACTCTGGAGTCCCTTCCCCTCTGTCCTTTGCGGCCCTTTCCCGCTGACAGCTGGAAGGCAGCCCTTTGTCACTGGTGGTTCTGTTGGCCAGCACTCTTATCTAGTGGCTGAAAACATGCCAGGCAGGGAGCAGTTGCGCCACCTGGGTTTGTTGGTTTACTAGGTGGGGACCAGCTCTTGCCTCCCAAGTCAGCGAGAGACAGGAAGTGAATGTGTCCAGACGTTTGCTGTTTCTGTACAGTGCAGGAGTTTGGTTTTCCTTTGAACATAGTTTCCTTTGAACATGCCATTCCGAAGAGAGAGCGGGCTTTTTTTCTTTTTTTTTTAATCACGAGAAGGACTAGAACTGTTTTCACATTTACTTGCTTATTAGGTGCTGCCCATGAAACTCAGGGCCCCCTGAGTGACCAGACGCTCAGCAGGCCCCTGAGTCGGCACTGGGAAGGACATTCCTAAGCACACCTCCAAGGTCCTCCCACCATGACTCCTCCACGCAGGGCACTTTGGGCCCCAGCGGCGGTGCCTCCTGAAATCTTGAACTGCACTTCTACTTGGGGAAGCCGTCTGCTTGGGGATGGGGTATTCTTAAAAAATGAGAGCAGTAGTAAGTTCAGGTGTCAGGCAGCCCTTTAAAAGGATGTCAGCCTTTCCTACAGAAGCATTATGAGGAAAAAACATTTTCTCAGCAGTTCTTTTCATGGTATGATAAACACTGATTTTTTTCAAGATGTTGAGTTAGACTGCTTACCCAGTTTTACGAGGAACATACAGGAAATTCCATAAGAAGACAAGCGGGGCTTTCCTGCAGCACCGGGCAGGAAGCCCAATTCACCTGAGACCAGGCGGGACTGGGGACCCACGGTCACAGGACCCCCGCCACCCCCCCCTCCCTGGCCACATGCCCAGCTCCTCCCAGATATGTGCCCTTGCAAAAGCATCCTTCCCTCAACTCCTGGAAGCGCACCAGGTGAAATAAGGTGTGAAAACACCCAGAAAGCCACATTAGGTGCCGCTGCTGTACTGACACTGATTGCTTTCCAGGGGCCTTACCCAGATCCCATGCTATCACCCACTAATCCTGATTTTACAGGTGGGGAGTTGCCCGCAGCCCACCCCTAGTCGGGTAGAACCAGGATCTCAACCCGGGCTACCTGGCCCAGACACCAGCCACATGGGCTGTTTCAATTTAAATGAATCAAAATCAAATGTGGTTCCTCTGTCCACTAGCCACACAGCAAATGCGCCATAGTCACGTGGCCAATGGCTTCTGCCCACTCGGAGATGAATGGGTCCACCATCAGAGAGCGTTCCGAGGGACTTGTTAGAAAAGTCTGGGCACGGTTAAAAGAAACGGATGGCGGTGAGAATTCTGTCACCTGTCATGCTTGCTTGCTTTATAGAAAAAAATAAGCCTCACAGATCTTCAGAGCATTGTGCGTTCTTTCATTGGCATAATTACATGTTGGCAGCTAAATTGCCATTCAGGAGAAGGTGATAAACCCTCTCTGTGCTGTCGCTTAGTTTCCAGAGGAAGAGGTAACTGAAGGAGCCCCCTCCCCCCGCCCAGTAAAACGGAAGGCCTCTCATTTCTCCGGCAGCCCCCAGGGTTACAGCAGCAACGGCTGCATCTGCTTCATGTCTTCACAGGGTGGGAATGACCATGAGATCTTCACAGACCCGAGGACCGTGGGCTACACTGTGACGACGCCCGAGGACACGCGCCGGATCTGTGAAGAGCTCTTCTCCTGATGTCCCCTCCCCAGGGGGCTGGGAGGGAGGCCCTGCTGACAAGCCTGAGAGGGTCCTTTTATGGCCAACCCAGATCTCACCCTCACATGCCCACAGGACATTGACAACCGTCCAAACTGGGACACAAGTTCAAAAACACCTCCTGAAATGAAGCGTCTGCTAAGCGCCTGCTGGATGGGGGCTCTGAAACCCAGGGCGTTGTGGTCAGCAGGCGGCACTCAGCTAAGGGACTATGTGCGCTGTTTTTCAACCTCACTTCTTGTCTGAGAACCACCAGCCTCAGCATGGCCTGTGGCCGGCTGGCCCGCCAAGCGAACTGACCCCGAGGAGTTTGCACCTCAGCTGTCCCGGCACGCAGGTTAGCGCTGTATTCACTACACGTCAAAGAGCTGCTTCTGTAACCATCAAGACGGGTGGAAAGGGGGACCAGCAGCCCTCATGGAGAACTGGCACACAGCCCTTCCGCTGGGCAGCGGTTAGAAACACTAACTTGGGGTGTCACACTTCAGCAAAAGAACCTTCTCTTTCCTGGGCCTGCTGGGCTTCCCAACGGCCTGTTTGCCTCGAGTTTCTCAGGGATCAGGTGAAAGCCTGGATAATTCACAGAAGCTTTGAATAAGGAAGCGTGTTCACCCTGCGCTCACCAGACTCACCTCAGGGCTGGGAGCAGCCTGGGACCCTCCTGCCTCCCTCCCACGTTCTGCAAGTTCGTGAAATGAAGACAGCTTTCCAAGGCAACGGTTCCCATGTCACTTTTCAGCATCTGGAAACGTTCAGACCCATCCACCCTCCACAGACGGGTGCCGAGGCGGCTTCAGTCCACAGCCGGGCCTCTGCTGGGGTCGCTCACCAACCTGAATCCACCAGGTGCTGCAATGGTCCCCACCACTCCAAAAAAAAACCTTCCGCCCCAGCATGTCTTGGTTCAGGGTCAGGTTGGTGAAGCCTGCCCACCCCTTTACCACACGCGCTTGACGCTTCTCAGCAGTCCCAAGGACACACCATCGGTGGCGTCTTTCCTTGTTGAATTTTGCAAATGATGCTGTAATGACCTCTCAAGATGAAAAAGAGCAAATTAAAGTGATTTTACTTTCCTGTTTCTCATTCTGATTACTTTTTCCTTCTTTCCTTGTTAAATGAGAGGTGGAGTGAAAGATTAGCTATCATCTTGGACCTGGAAGGAAATCCCAGCCCTGCTAGATCGGAGCCTCTGTCTCATGCTCTGTCTGGAACATTAGGCTGTCGCACACGCTGACGGGCGCAAGCCCTTCCGCACTCCTCGGCGCCAGTGGGTAAGGAGCCACTGACACCCTGTAAGCTTCCCTAACACAGCATATCAAAGCAAGACAACCAGTCTCACTCCACCTTGTCCTAACCTGTGTCACTGGAGACGGTCACTGGGCGTCCCCGGAGGCTGCCGGGCTGGGCCGTACGTTCTTCAAACCCTGGGGCCCCTTGCCCCCCGCCCCCCTGCACTGTCGGAATTGCCTCAGCCTGCACCTTCTCATCCCATCTGTCCCAGTCAGGCTTCCTCGTGGTTTCTCCCATCTCTTCTCCTCAGGCATTTCATAACCTCCCCCAGCCAGGCACTGGGGCGGGGAGGCGAGGAGTAATACTACGCAAGAGTGAGGTGCTGGCTGGTGCCTCCCAGAGGCTCTGTGATTGGCAGGTGACCACAGGTCCGCCAAGATTCCCAGCCTAGCTCTGCGGCTGACCAGCTGTGCAATTTCGGATGTTCCTCGCGGCCTCCGTTTGCTCATCTGTGAAACGGGATAGAGTCCCTAGCACATAGGTAATTCAGTAAAGCCCTTTGGACGGTGTGTGACAGCTATTACTAACCCAGGTCACCCCCCAGGAAGCCTGTAAAGCCGGACTCAGCCTTCCTCGACAGATGAGGACGAGCCAAATTGAGGAGTTCGCAGGATAAAGACACCATCACCACAAACGTGAACACAGTGGCTAAGTGTTGAGCAAGAGGGACCCAGAGGTGCTGCCCCAGCTGGCCTGGAGCTGGTAAGAAAGCGGGCCCCGCCCCAGCGCTGCAGAAGCTGATGGGTGTTTCGCCCTGGACTCAAGGTCACTGGGGCTTAGGGAGCCTCAAGGGAAAAGCGGAGGTGGAAGGCACGTGGGTGGCTACCAGAGGGAGGGGCCCCCAGGGAGGCCCTTGAGCCTGAACTTGACCCTGAGGGACAGATGGGGAGGTGTGGCAGCACGGTGAGGAATGACTGCAGGGGCCTGCAGAGTGGGGCAGATGTCGCGCGGATGCAGGCGGGTGGAGGTGGCCTTGAATCACTTCCTTTCCAAGAACTGCTTCCTCTTCCTCTTCCCCCAAGTGCTCCTCGCTCTCAGGCAGCCAGGCCTCCAGGATCCTCTCCACCTCCCGCTCTGTCAGGGGCTGCACCTCACTCTGCGCCTTCACTCATTCCCAGCACCGCCTGCAGTCTCCGCCCAGCCCTCCCTCGTGCCACCTGTGTCACAGCGCTGCACGCCCACAGATCTCATGGTTTTGAGCTCGATTCCGCCAACTGCGGCCTCTGCCGAAACAGGTTCAATGGGCTGCTGCTAATCTTCCCTGATACACTTTGAAAAATCAATGTATTCTTATTATGCAATAAAAATGTTCGCCTCTGCACCAGTAAACATCATTACCTACTTCCCTTGAGAAACAGCGGCCGGGAAGACCTTCCTTGCCTGTCACCCCGCCCTCTGCCTGCCCCTGCCCAGCCCTCTGCACCCGCCCTGCCCTTCTGGAAACCAAGAGCTTGACTTGGGCTTCCATCCGTCTCACACTTTCAACTTGCCCCGTCTGCAACGCCTTGTTCTGAGGGCTCATCCTCACCCGAAGTGTAAATGCATCAACAGGGCACCTCTCCACAAGGGACTGTCGTCACGAAGCCACATTCTACTGCTGAGCTCGCCTACATTGAGAATTATGATTAAGGAAAAAGGGACAATCCCCTTTTCTTACCCCCCCACCCAAAACAACCAGGCTGCAAAGGAGGACTGAGTCAGCCTGGCTTGGGGAGATGCCCTTACCTGCTGGCTTAAAGGAAAAGCTCACTCACACACAGCCTTGCACAAAACAAACTTTATTGAGAGAAAGGGTGTCCAGTGAGAGGAAGGATCTGGATTGAGGAATCCTGGGTGCTATTCCCAGTTCCGTCACCAACACCACAGGTCCCCCCAGAGCCTCACGGAGTTTCTGTACATTGAGCAGGAAAGGCATCCCTTCCAGCTCTAACATCCTGCAGTTCTGGAATAATCGACTGAAGGAGATATGGTCACACAGGGAGGACCGCAAACGCCGCTTACAAAGGAGTCTACCTGGTAAGAGGACCCAGAGGCCACACCTCCGAACAGTAGATCCAACTCCCAACCCACGGGTGGGCAGAGCCAGGTGGGGTCACACACAAGGCCAGGCCTTGCACCCAGGTGAGGACACCTGGGGGAGAGGAATGAAGACGCAGGCTCTTGGCAGAAGTGGCTCTGGAAGCGTGGTCTGCACCCCACAGGCTTCCAGGGGCCACCTGGGAAACATCCAAGGCCGCAGGGGGAAGGCCACCTTGGACCCAGCGGAAGGCAGAGGCAGGAGGCAGAGGACCCTCAAAGGCGTGGGACGGGCCAGGAAAAGAAAAGGCGGATCAACTCCCTTAGGTGTGATGCTTCACTGCACACACATCATCCACACACTCATGTGCCTGTTTCAAACCAGTCATCAGCACAATAGTCCCAGCCTTCCACCCCCTGCAAAGGAAGCAGTCCCCAGGCTGAAAGACAGACCTGTCCCCAGAACGAAGACTCTTGATAAGGCCGGTACTATCCTTTGCATCCAACTTCCTCCGTCTTTTGTCAGGAACATCCTTGTCTGCCCAAAAGCCAGCTGTAAAGGGTTCAGTTCCCCAAGCTGACAAATAAATTCTACAGATAAGCCACATATTTCAAAACATTACCCAGCTATCTCTATTTTTAAATCACACCTAAAGCCCAACCAAACCACAGCAAATAAAACCCTAAGGATTGATCTACAAAGGTTCACAATGTTGGCAGCAAGGTATAAAGTGAGCTGGCTCTGGGGGAGAGCTTTAGTTATTTAAAAAAAAACAAAAAAACAACCCTAAGCACTTCTTCACACCTGTTTTCAAGAAAACCCGTTCAGCAAATGTGCGTTTCTCCTTCGACGTTTGAGTTTACCAGGCTGTCAGGAAGCAAGCTACCTACTCTTTTCTGGATGGATCAGGAGAAAGATCTGTTTTTAAACAAACCAGCTCCCCTCTCCACACTCCCTTCACCCATCCCATCCCCCACTATCTAAATGACAGGGGATAGGAAATGGCTGCTGAGCCATGATCACTCAGCTTGAAGACAGGTGGAAAAGACCGGGTCTCTCAGGGTCAGAATTCAGCTCTGAGCATGGCTGCAAAGGCGCCTGAGGCCCCTGCTCTCCCCACCACCTGCCCGCTGAAGCCAGCTGACCTGGAACCAACCAAGCGAAGAATCAGGGAAGCCTGCTTTGCCCAGGGCCTAGGAAAGACCCAACAAAGTGGTGCGTGGGTGGGAATTCATGCCGGGACACACACAGGGTCCATGTCACCACCCCCCAGTGGGATTTTGAGCCTCCAACTCCAGGGGGAAGGGGACGAGGGACTCTGTGGACTGGAGAAATACCACCTGACCGGTGCCGCCTGGACTGGAGTTGGGCCCTCTAATCAGCCACAGGCAGGTGCCTCGCCTTTGTCAATGCTTTTAATAGTTTTCAGGTGGTGAGGCTGTTGTGCTGATCAGAGGCTGTGCTGGTGACCGAGAGCACCCCGTGCCGGCCCCCGACACTCCTTCCTCCAGGATACATGAAAGGGACCATGCTCCCCGCTTTGAGTGGTAGCTCACATCTCTTGTGGTAGAATGTCATCTCCAGTCTGGTCCTGCCTCCTCCTCCCCCCAGAGTTTCCCTCAAGCCCAGAAGAAGGGGTGCTTCCGGCCTCTCCTAGGAGCTGATGACGTGGCCGGACCAGGTTTCATGCTTGGTGCCCGGCGCCAGGTGGGTAATGACCACCTCCACGGCCTGTAGCTTCTCGTTCTTGGGCGGGATGGAGCACATCTTGTAGGTGACCTCGTCGCCTTCCACTGGGACATACTCCCCTTCCACGCTGCAGGGTGGGGAGAGAGCACTCAGAAAAGCCCCACGCGATGCCACAGCCAGCACACCAGCCCCCTGCTGGTCAGAGGGCCGCCCCTTTCAAAGGAACTGCCTTGCTGCGCTGCCATCATGGGAGCCACCACACTGCCCCAGCCTACAGGTGTGGCTGAGAAGGCCCTGACCCGATCGGTTGCTTCCCTAGGACCTTTGAAGCTGAGACAGACAAAGTTCAGCCATCTGGGGGTGCTCAGGCTACGTGAAATGTGGGTGCCATGGGCCTGGTGGACAGAAGAGAAGCGAGAGCCAGTCTGAGCCAGAGAGAAGCGAGGCGGTCACATGGGAGCTGAGAGATGGCGGGGCAAGTTTACTGAGCGCCCAAAGCACACCCACCCTGGTCAAGGGGTCCCAGAAGCCCAGTGAGCCTCCAAGAAAGACCCTTTTGTGCTTAAAGCTGGTTTCCAGGAAGGGTTCTCTACCTTGGACCCACTCCCGGGAAGATCACCTTACTTCACACAGGACTTGAGTCACCATCCCACCCATGATGGTGAGGGACCCGTCTTGACACCCCCTTGATGAGACCCCAGGAATCCCCCTTCAGATCCTGACGGCCAGGGCCAGCCAGCTCCCCCGGAAACTGCTTTGTCTTGATGGAGGAATTGCATACCAAATGGGGCGTCCCTCTTTGACTTGGCCACCAGGAAGCTCAGGAATCAACGTGCAGCTACTTCTAGCAGCGGAACCAGGCATCTCAGCGTCTCCATGGTTATTTGCCTCCCACCCCCATGTTTCCCTTACTAACTCATTTATTTGTCATCCTTGTAGCCACTACACATTCTTTCTGGAAAGAGGTAATATGGACATACATGTACACACATCCACGTATGTGTTCATACATACATAAAATGCATTGCTTTAGCATCTTTCTCAGATCTGTGCTGTACAAGGGGCCTATTTAAGACCTGATGTGTGTGTGTGTGTGGCGGCGGGGGGGGGTGATTAAAATCAGTGCTCCTTACACCCATGTTATTTTTTTGTTTTTTTTTAATGGAGAGGGTTTGTAAAGAAAAGCTACCTCTCCCAGCACGGCAGACATATGCAATAAGAACCAATTTTCAAAAGTGTGGTTTCTATATATTGCCAGGTCTGCTGTGCAGGGCAGGATGTCCTGAAAGACTGAAATAAAAGATCAGGGGGTGCTGAGGCCAAAGGATGGGGTAGGACTGGGGGTGCCAGACCAGGTCCCAAAATATCTGAAAACTACGAGAAGATGGGGAGTGAAGCACAGGCTGCAGCATGTTCTCCAGCCCCGGGGCCTAGGATGTGTGGGCCCCACCCTGGGTCCTCCAAGGGCTTCCAGACACTCAGGAACAAAGGACATCAGTGAACAAGCGGCTGGAGAAAGGGTGCAGCTCCAGACTTCCTTCCTGCAGCAGAGGGGCCGGGCAGCCCTCAGCCTCACCAGGCCACTTCCCCCCATGGTAGGGCAGGAAACCACCTCAAGGTCAAACACAGCTCCCCTGACTCACTGGGGTGCCTTCCCCCATCCACCAGATGCACAGGCACTCAGCCCCATCCCAGTGGTTCTTGACACCCTTATACCCAGCATCCATCATAGTCACACACACTCCCTGCCTCTGAGGAGCAAAGACAGTGACCACCTCAGCCCCGGACCAGCTACTGACTCACTCGGAGATGTGCAGAAAGATATCAGGGCCGCCATCAGCTGGGGTGATGAAGCCGTGGCCTTTGGATCGACAGAAACATTTGCAGACTCCTTTGTAGACAGGGCCCTGCGAGGCCCTCACCGTCCTGATAGAGAGGGAGAAAGGGTGAGAGGCCCCCTCCAGGACAGCTGCCCACTCTCCTTGGGCACACCCAGCTCATCCCAGTCCCTGCCCACAGCTGTGCCCAAAGGGGTCCTGGCCAGGGCCACCATATACAGCTGCACAGGTTGTGCACTGCACAACTCTGGGCTATTCACACAGAATCCAGTAAGAGTGACTCTCTGGATGACCTTGGCAAGTTTTCTCAGGCCTCAGTTCCCCGTTTGAAAGGAGCAGTTTAGACTAAAAGCTCTCTGAGCATCTCTGATGACAAATTATTAATAACAGCAGCAGACTCCATTCATTGGGCCTGAGGTCTGCATCTGCTAGGCACCATGTATGGCCTCTGCAGCACCTTGGCCCCCCTGCTACTGTCCTCATTCTGCAGCTGAGGAAGTCAAGGTCTCACAGGCAAAGAGGCTTGTGTGTGGTTAAAGCCCAAAGATTTAAGACCCCCGCGATTTCCCACCCCTTTCCATCCTTCATCCCCAGCTCGTGGCAGGCTCAAGTGGGTCTGGGGCAGTGTCCTCCGGAGTTCACAAGGCACCTTCCCAGTTTCTCTTATCCCAACCCCACGTCTCTCCATTTGACAGACATTGAGGCACAGAGATGGCCAGAGATGCAGTGAGTCTCTGGCCTCAGGCAGGAGGCCTGTTTCAAGGAGCCTCCCCTGGCCAGCCTGAGACTCACGCAGAGAAGGTCCTCGTCCGGCGAGTGGGCAGCGGGCTGGGGACCACATTGCCCCGGAGAGGGGATGGTGATCGATCGCGGGCCCGCTGGGTGTCCAGTAGCCCGACTGAAGCCTGGTGGGTGGGGGGCTGTGGTGGCGGAGGAGGTGCAGATGACATGGCTGACCTGGAAAGAGATGGGGTTCTCAGGGGCTCATGCCTTGCAGGAGGGGTCCCCCAGAAGCATCCCCACCCTCACGGTCACAGAGCCTGCCATCCGAAACTCATTCCTCTTGCTGGCCGGGGAACGCAGGCTCCAGCTCACTCAGTGCGGAGGTCACAGTCACGTCTCTGCAAACACGTAGGCTTGCCCAGCTGGGTCAAGAGCCTCCCCTGGGCTCTGCAGCAGCTGTGGGCCTCCTCCTATCCCAGCTGTGCATGGAAATGCCAGCTTGTCCCCATAACAAGGACGCCATTGGTCCCCTGTAGGTCCTCAGTGCCCAGCACAGAGCTGGGTGGCACTTAGTAAATCCTTGTGAAAGGAAGGGAACGGAGGACCCAGGCAGGGAGGCAGGCGCTGTTTTTATGCTACCTGCCTGGATCAGGACGCCAGCTACTCACCATTCCCTGACCCCTGCTAACAGCCAGACCCTAAGGGGAAGGGGGAGGCAAAAAAGGGAGCAGCACACAGTGTCTCTCCAGGAATCTCCGGGACACAGACCAAAGAAAGGCTCAGACCCCAAGTTTGGATCCCGGGGGGCTGTCACACGCCTGCATCCAGGGGAGGGAGGCCTGGTGGGTGCGCCTGGGGAAACCAAAGGGATAGGGCATTTCAAAGGACAGGCCCCTTGCTCAGATCCAGGGGCTCCCAGTGAATTTACACCCCGGCCGCTCGCCCGGGGTCACTGGCTACTATATCAAATTTCCTCGGTGACCCACCAACATGCATCAAGAGTGGGTGTGGTCACAGCCAGCTGGAGGGCTGGAGGGGCACGGACTCCACAGCGGCTGCCTCTCTCTGGCCGTTTTGCCAAGAGCAGGACATGGCCACAGGGCCCAACGCACACCCAGTGCATGCCTGTGAAGGTGCCTGCTCTGACGCCGCCTTGGCTCAAGGTCAAGAGGAAAGAGCAACGCCCAGGAGCCAGAGGGCCTTGGCTAAGTCCTTTTTTTTCCTCTGGGGTCAATTTCCCCACCTGCAAAGTGCGGCAGCTGGGCGGGCATGATTCAGCACCTGCGCAGGGCTGGGGATAGGGACGCAGGTGAGGTGGAGGGGCCTGAGCTCAGACCTCACCCAAGTTCACACAGTGAGGGGGACAGGAGCAGCCCCCGTGGGCTTTATGAGGCTCACACGGGGTTTTCAAATTTCAAATGTGAGCTATCTTTCAAACATCCCAGGAGTTTGCCTCTCAACATCCAGGTTTCCAGCTATTCAGGAAAAACAAGGAGCAGCTCTGACAATCCTGAAACCCCAGCTCTCCACCCTGTTTCCTCCTTCCTTTACAACAGCTCCGGGGCCCCAGGACACTGATTTTTCAATCTAGAGTTTTCGAATCACGCGGCAACGTCCCCGCTGCCCCCAACCCAAACCTCCCAAGAGCAAGGCCTGATTCCTCCCTCAAAAGGACAAAACCTCTCCCGCTGGCACTCCCATGTCAGGTCTCAGTTCTGTCTGGCTGGGAAGAGAGAGGGCTGGATTGCCTTCTGGAGGAAGTGGCACAGCTACCTCCTGACCCTTCGCTTAGCTGCAGCCACGGTTGGAGGGCGGCCGGTCCAGGGAGCCCCCACCTCAAAAAGGCACCGGCTGCTCTGCTGGGGTCAGGGCTCCCGCATGACCTACCAGCACAGGTCATAGAGTCCTGGAATGTTCCAACACATGGGGTTCTGGGAAGGAGGCCAAAGAAAGGAGGGCCCTACCCAGGCCTCCCAGGACAGCAGGTGGGACCACAATGACCTGGTGATACAGGGTGAGGTGGGAAGCTGCCTTCCCCACTTCTACCCCTAATCCCCTCCTTTCCCCTGGAGTCAGGCACATCTGATGTTCAAATCCCACCACTTGCCAGCTGTGTGATCTTGGGAAAGTTACTTAACCTCTCTGGACTTTAGTTTCCACATCTGGAAAATGGAGATTATAACAGTCCTGACTTCACACCATCATCACAAAGTTGAAATGAAATAATACATGTTGAGCACTCAGCACACCATCTGCCCAGGACAAGTGAGCAGTGTCAGCTATGATTGTTGTATAACTGTCATCGTAAAGTCATTCAACAAATTTGTGCCCGGTGCCAGTCCCTGTTCATGGGACTCGAGACACTGGGCTGAATTTGGAGCCAGAGAATAAACAGGTAAATAAAGATATGAACAAGGTTCATCTATATTGCAGATTGCCAAAAGGGCTCGTAAGAAATACACAGAAAGAGATAAAAAGTAACAGGGTGGGGGTGGGTGCTTCCCTAATGGGGGTACAAGCTTGGCCCTGAACAATAAGAAAGCCAGCCATTTGAAAAACAGAAGGAGGCTCTTCCAGGTAGGGAGGAGAAAGCCTGTGCAAAGGCCCTGAGGTTGACAAGGTTCCAGGTGTGACAGAGGCCAGCAAGGAGACCGGTGGTACTGGGGATGAAGGGTCGGTGAGTGACAAGGTGGTGAAAAGGAGGGCGGAGCCAGCTGAGGAGATACGGGGCATCACCATTATCACATGTCTTCCTTTCTTCACACCCATTTGTCTGTCTGTCCCCATGCAGCTTGCCATGCCCACCCCCCCCTGGGTTAATGTAGCAGGCCCAAATTGGGCCCCCCATTTTCTCTTTACCCCAGCCCCCTCGACTCCTGCAAAACATTTAATCCCTGAGAGATGCCAATAGAAGGCCCATGACCTGGGGGTCTGAGCAACATCAAGGGTCCCTCTATGTCCCTAAGGCTCAGCATTAGGGCTGCCACAGAGCAGGGGTTTAGGACACAGGCCAGGGAATGACCCAAAGACTCCTTAACCAGCATCAGAGCCCGAAGCCCCCGCTGGCATTCACTGTGCACCCAGTGTGTGCTCAGCACCTGGCACCGTCCAGCAGGAGGTGGCTACATTCAGTGGGAGAAACTGAGGCACTGAAAGCGCAAGTGACTGCGGGTGAGAAGGGTGGTGCCAGCCCGGGAGACCCAGGAGCCTTCACCACCACCAGCTGCTGGCCTGTCACAGCCCGTCTGAGCTGGAGAGCAGCTGCAGCAGCCTGGAGCTGGCCGGGCCAATCGGCAGTGGGCCTGGCAGGAGAAGGGAGAGCGGGAGGGGAGGGGGCGGGAGAGTGAATGGCCTTTGTGTGGGGGAGGCACAGGTCAAAATCCAGCTGTAAGGAAAACAGCTGGGGCAGGGGATAGCCAGTCACCCAGGAGCCAGCTCGGGGGCCCATCTGTGTAAGCCCCCCAACACACATGCAGATGGGGATGGGAGGTGTTCAGCAGCCCCAGCCCCACCCACTGGCATAGTTTTCCAACAGGCAACTCCTCTCCCAGCAACACCAGGGGTGGCCTTGGAGCATCCTGGAGGAGGCGGGGCCCACACAGTGACTAGCCCCCCTGAACCACTCCATTCCCTGCATCTGGGAGGAATTTGCAAACAGGTGCCTGAAGCTCAGGCTGGCCAGACGCTGGAGGCCAGACCTGGGATAGGCCTCAGGCCTGCAGCAAACTCAGCCCAAATGTCATGCCCAAGGCATGTCACAGCTGCTGTGCTGTGTGCGCACGTGCTGGTGGGTCTGTGCACAGGTGTAAATATGTGTGTGGTAGTGTCTCTGTGTGCACATGTGTGGTGTATGTGTACACGTGTGTGTACACACATGGCTCTGGAGAGCCACCTGTGCATCTGAACACACGCACACATGTGTATGCATGCATGGGCTTGTGGACCAGGCTTGTCACGGCCTGTATGTGCACACCAGTGGGCCAGGTGGGGCCGCACCTTGTCCCCAAGCACACTGGGTGCCTGCACTGGCCCCAGAGGACCTTAAAGAATATTGCCTCCTATTCAACTAAGAGTTACTGGGCCATCTACTATGCACAGGAAACGGAACCCAGGACAGCAAAATTCTTGCCCTCAAGGAACTTATGGGCAGGGAGAGGGGGACCCACAACAGCCAGGACAACAGCCAGCGAACTGGGGCCACACAGTGTTCTCAGAACTTCACACATCTCAGCTCTTTTCATCCCCATTTCACTGATGGAAAAACCGAGGCACAAAGTGCCAAGTGCCTTGCCCAGCTCCCGCAGCTAATAAATCAACTGGTGAAACAGACAGTATGTCCAGCAATGGCAAAGCTATGGAGAGAAAGCAAGCAGGGGAGGGGAGTGTGGGTGAGGGGCCGCATTTTTAAAGCAGGTGGTCCCAGGTGAGCAGCTGGCCACCTCCTCCTTTCCCAGTCAGCACCTCTAGGTTCTAAAGAGTGCTCAGCTGGGGAGGAGAACACAGGCCCTAGAGGTGGGGGGGCCAGGAAGCAACTCTCACCCTGCCTGCCCCCAGGGAGGGGTGTGTCAGCAGGGCCTTTATCCTGGGAAAGGGTGAAGAAGGGGGGCCTCAGCCCAAAATAGCTGGGAATTTTCCACAGGCCAAGCAGATCCTCAGCACTGGGATCCAGGCTTCCCGAAACACCTTAGGCCTACCCACATATCTGGAGACTGGAGACCCAATCCTGCACAGCCCCTGTTAACCCCGCCTCCTGCCCTCACTGACTCAAAGCCACCAACCATATCAAGGATGAGTCTGTCTTGAGCCAAGGAGCCAGCTGCTTACTCCAGGAAGGGGAGCCTTGGCAGTGCTGTCAGTCATTTACACTTTAGTGAGAGGGAGTTCGCAGTTCATTTCACAAGGCTCCATTCTTGGTAGCTTTCAGGCCCTCAAGGACAGGAAGATGGGGGAACAAAAGCTGGGTTCAAGTTGGGAGCCTTCATGGTTCTCATCAAAGCCAGAATGCTCCAAGCCTATTTTTTCTTTCCAAGCTCCCCACCCTGAAAAGTGGGGGTGTCTTGAGCTTTCAATGGGTTTCCGGCTAGGGCTGGGACATATCATATTCAGACACCTCCCAGCCCTAGGGCCAGGCCACTGCTGGCAGGCCAGGATGAGTCGTAGCCTACACAAAGGGAAGGGGACATGGCACTGGACAACCAGTCGTGGGGGACCGGGGCAGTGAGGGTGTGATGTCCACTGTCTACCAACTTGTGCCCGGCTCTGTGTAGGCATTTACACACATTCACCGGATTCATCTGATATGAATCTGCCTGCATAGACAGGTTTAAGCCAGCGCTTCTCACACTTTAATCCACCCAGGAATCTCTGCGGATGGTGATAAAATGCTGATTAGATTCTGAAGTGGGGAGCGTGAGGCCTGGGGAGTCTGCATGTCTAACGCACTCACAGGGAGGCAGACCACTTGGCCACTGAACGCGGAGCAGTAAGGGTTGGCAGGCTTGCCCACCTGTCAGCCAGTATAAGAGGGTGAAAGGGAAACTAGGGGGAAGGGATGAGGCTGTAGATGAGTCAGGTTCCTGGTCTGCAAACTGAGACAGAGACACCCTCCCACCTCTCCCTTCCCTTTCTGACCTCCAGCTCAGCTGAGCCCAACAGAGGGGTCCCAGCAGAGAGGCCCCCAATGAACCCCAGGCAGACAGGCCTTGGACAGTCTTCTCCAGCCATATTCCCCTCCCCTCTGTTGTAGGGTAGAAAGCCTGGCTCCAGCGGAGGGAGGGAGTGAAGGGAAGGGGAAAGGGAAAGGGAGTGAAGGTAGAGAAAGGGAGTGGTGGGGTGTAGGGGGTCATGGGGAGGGGCCAGGAGAATCACGGGAGGAGGGAGTCAAAGGCTGGGGTGGGGGTATGGCCTGGCCCAAGCAAGCCCGAGCCCCGAGCCCTGACGTGCCTGCACAGAGAGAAATACAAACACAAACTGGGCAGCGGGTGCAGCCCACGTTCCCATGTGGCGGGGGAGGGCAGACACTGGCTGAGAAGGGCTGAGCCCAGTCGGGAACTGTTTGCGGCCCCTGAGGCCCCCAAGTGCTGGGAAGAGGCTGGAAACCCAGGCCCAGCATGCCAGGAACCAGAGGCAGGCCCTCAGGCACTGCTGCCTGACCCCCATTAGCACCCCCACCCCGCCCTATGGAGAGATGGTCACCTAGCACTTCAACCACCAGGGACCCTGCGCTGCCCCAGTTCAGTCCTTAGAGCCCCTCCTGGGTGAGCCCAAGCCCTTGTTGGTAACTAGAAGCCGACTCTGCACCCCTCAGCACCCCCACTTCAGGCACTCGGGTTTTCCATCCTCCCTCGTTTCCAGAGCCCTGGTGGCAGACATGTTTCACTCCCTCGCTGTTCCCAGCAAGTGACCTCACCGCTCAACACCTCAGCTTCCTCACCTGTCAAATGGGACAGTAATGGTGCAGCCCCCCCTCCCCCCCACTCCCCTGCAAGGGACCTTGTGCAGACAGACCAGACAGGGCCAGCTACATGGGCTAGGTCAACAAGCTCGAGGCAGAACTCTCAGTCACACGGCCATCTAGAATGATCCCTCCCATTCCTGTCCCTGCTGATGGGACATAAACCAAGTGCCCTGACTTTGCCACTTGGCAGGACAAAGAAAAACTGGTCCCCTCCCAAGCCAGGGCCCAAGCTGGGCCCTGGTCGGCTCATTCCGACCTCCAGCATCTACTCCAAGCTGGGCTCTGAGACCCTGTTTTTGGCCTGGAAGGGGGAGGGGGCGGGGGCTGGGGCCGGAGGGAGTCAGTTGGAGGCTGGGGACAGATAGGCCAACACTGAGAAGCTGAGATCATCAGGGACCCCCAGAGAGAAGGGGAGCACAGGGAGCTGGAGAGGCCCCTGGCCCGGAAGAGGGGATAGCATCGCTTTAGGAGTAAGGAAGTCATTCCTGGTAGAGGGACCTGCAGGGGGCAAAGGCCCAGGGGGAGGAAGGGAGGGCGGGTGGCAGAGAGAGGCGGGAAAGATCGCGGTGGAAGACAACAGAAAGCTCTGTTGAGAATGTTGGCACTTAGGCGACAATGCGAAGAACAGTGGACGATTTTAAGCCGGGGGTTGATTTGAACCGTTTTTTATACGAGTTCCCCCTGGCAAACGGGTTGGAGGGGCAAGACTGGGAGCAAAGAGACTGAGAAATATCAAAACGGCAACTAAAAAGATATGTCACTAACCTTTCTCCCCGCACTGGGTTAGCCATCTCCTTTTGTTCTCACACACCGCATTACGATAGGAAAAGTTATACGGGCTACAGAAGCGGAATCGGAGGCCTCCTATTTTGCAGCGAGACACCCCCGCCTAGGAGAACGGTGGCCCTGCCTGGAGCGGGCTGATCTGTGCTCCCCCACCCCACCCCAAATACACAGATCCACTCCAATCCCAGAAAGGCAGTGAGGGTCAGGGGCTTCCTCTTTAAAAATCGAAAACAAACCAGTGCATTTCCGGCCTACAAACGGGCTACCAGTGAAGCCGGCGGGAAGGGAGGCTGTGGGCGCGGGGCAAGTTTTCTGCTCCACCCAGGGGCTCCCCATCCCGGCGCAAACACACTCGGCGAGCGCCCGGCGGCTCCTCCTCCGCCAGAGGCGGCCAATCGCGCCGCGCCAGGCCAGCTCCCCACCTCCCTCGCCTGGCCTGGCCGAGGTCCAGCCGCCGAACCCACAGCTGGCGCGGCCCGCCCGGCTCCACCTTCCCGAGCGGCGCCCCGGCGCCTCGCCCCACCGCACCGCGAGTCACCCCATCCACGCTCCCGCGCACGGGCGAGAGCGAGGGGAGGGGGTTAGGGGCGAGTGGGGCGCTTCGCAGCACGCAGAAAACAGGCGGGAAGTGCTACCTGACATCCGCTCCCAATCCCTCCAGCTGCGGCCACACCCACCCTTCCCTTAGGGAAAAGTAACTCGCTCGCCCCCAAACAGGCCTCAGCGGCCCGGGCATGCCCTAGGCGCCTAGAGACCCATCCCGGAGCCCCCTGCCGGCGAGCTGGAAGACCCTGCACTAGGGGGTTGAATGGGGGCAAGCGGCGCAGGGGAGGCCGTGGTCCCACACCCGTAGTCCGCGGGTCTCGGGACGGGGACACCCCGCCACACCCCTCCTGAGGGCCCAGGAGAAGGTCCTTACCTGGCGACCCGCTCCGCTCCGCCGGCTGCTCTGCCCCGACTGCGAGAGAGAAGCTGGGGAGGGGGCGTGGTCCGCGGGGAGGGCCCGCCAAGGCCCCGCCCCTGACCCGCCCCCAGAAGCGCCCAGCCAATGGGGCCGCGGACCAAAGCCCGGGCCTGCTGGGGAGCCGCGGGGAGCCGCTGGCCGCAGGAACCCGAATGGACCTTTGTGTCCGCGCGCGGGACTGGCAGGATCGCGGGGTGCACGGCCTCTCCCCCCGCGCAGGGGTGGGGGACAGTGACCGTCTGTGCTGCAGAAAGCTCCCCTGAAAAGTCAGAGAATCTGGTCTTCGCGCCGGTGCAGGTCCCTCCCCTAACCCCCCGGGTTGGGTCTGGCCCCTACCTTACCTTCGCTCTAAAATCCAGATGGGCCGGGGGCGCTTTCGTTTTTTAGCAGAAAGAGATCAAGGAATGACAGGAAAGAATGAAGAGAGACGCAGAAGGGAAGGAAACAAGCAAAGAACAAAAGGGAGGAAAAGAGGGGAGGAAAGGAAAACAAAATTCAAAGAAAGAGAAAACAAACGAGGGAAAGCTGTTGATTTCATTCTCTTTTATGGTTTGTTTTTTGTTTGTTTGTTTGTTTGTTTCATTTGATTCTTCATTTCCACTCCTTCCTTGAGTCCTGTGTCTCTGGAAGTAAAAGACGGTCCTCTCATTTTACAGGAAAGGAAACAGAGGCACAGAGGGCGGTGGCCTTTCCACCCGCTAACCCTCCACCCCACCCCACCCTGTCACAGCGAGTCCGGGGCAGCCCCAAACGCAGAGTACAGCCGTGGACCCACACTCAGGTTGGTAATCGAAAGGCGGGAGAGAAAGGAGCTATCCTGTAACTGTCCTACGACCGCAGGGCCTGGGAGTAGGAGTGGCACCGTGATCTCTGCGCAAGCGCACCAGCTCTGCCTGCCACGCACCCTGCCTCTCCCTCCCTCCCCGTCATTCCCCATCCCCGCCCACCCCCACTCACCCCGCTACACACACACACAAGCACACAGAGACCATTGAGAACACAGCGACAAGACAACGATCTACAAGCCAGGAAGACGGCCCTCCACCGGGAACTGGCCAGCACCTTGATCTTGGACTTCTTCGCCTCCAGAACTGGGAGAAATACATTTCTGTTGTTTAAGCTGCCCTGTCTATGATTTTTGTTATGGCAGCTGAAAGAGGCTAAGGCTGTCCTTTTGCCTTCCTTCCCGCAACCCCAAAGTCCTCCTCAACTAACTGAAGCCTCTCAGAATTTCACAATTGGGTGCAGTTCTTTCTGGTTTGCAGTCATTTACTGGGTGTGTCGTCTGTGTCTGTGTTGGTCACTCAGCACCCAGAAATAATAAGTGCCCACCCAGTACCCGCCCCAGAGGAGGCACAGCCTGGTGAAGTAGCAGACAGGCCCATAACCGATAACAAATAACCAGGATGTCATGTGGTGGGCTAGATAAGCCTCCATGGCTCAGCAAGTGTCCCACCCTCGGCGCATCAGTCAAGACTGGTCTCAGGGAGGCTTTCTCTCTCAAATTGCCTTGGCTTACACCTCCTGCAGCCAGTGACATCAGCCCCACCATCTTTTCCCCATCTGATGGCACTAGCCAAGTGGCAAGACTTTGAGCCAACAGCTAATGAAGAGACGTGGGCTAAATGTTCTACCCAATAAGGACCAATCAACCAAGCCAGCCATCTGACAAATACTTATTGCACACATATTTATTCCAAGTGCTGGACTAAACAAAATTCATGCTGGCCCTGCCCCTTGGAGTGTTACAATCTAATAGGGGAGGCAGATTTGTAAACCAATAATCACACAACGGTACAAAATCCAAAAAATAAAAATAAAAAATAAAATCCCGCTGTACCCACAACAATGACAGTCAAGGAGCTGGAAAAGCTAGGAGAGGTTTCTCTGGAAAGTGCTAATTGACCTGAGATCTTCCAGAAGATCAGGAATTAAACACAAAAAAGGACATTCCCACACAGAAGTTACACAGAGCATGTGCAAAAGCCCTGAGGTGAGACGGGGTGTGGGGTAAGATGGTAATTGTCAGAATGGGCAAAATGTATGGGTCTCAAATAGGGAGCTTCGCCTTTAAGAGTGATGGCAGCCAGGTAAGGGCTTAAAGCAGGCATGACCCCTCCCACCAAAGTGTAACTCCCATCAATCAACCTGTCCCCATTTCTTCCCACCATGACTTGGGCCTCTACTATCTCAGGAGCAGCGGCCTCTACCTGCCCCTTCTGCCTCCCCCTCATTCCATGCCCACGCTTCAATTTTCCGTGCAGCAGCCAGAGGGATCTTTCAAAACCCAACCATTGTTAAAGAAAAAATGACTCATGATACTTGTTAAAACAGTAAGACAGACTTTGTTCGGAACGATCCTGATAGGTACAGGGAGCACTACAATGGGGTTTTGCAGTAAGCGAGAGAGATTTTACTCAACTCCAAATACAAAGGTAAGTGGGAATTAATAGCCAAGGAGCAGGATAGGGGAGGGGTTACTAAGAGGAAACATCAGTGGCCGGGGAGATTCTGGCTAAATTGGCCTCGCAGGATTCTTGCAGAAGGCATGCCAGGGTGATCAGACATCACCAAGGGGTGGGTGCAGGGACGAGGAATTTGGTCAGATATCAAGAGTGATCAGATATGAGGGTGTGGGATTCTGGCCAAACCAACTTGACAGGATTCTTCCTAAAAGTGGACTCTACAAGGACAAAGACAGGAACCCAAGGTCCAGCCTCGTCAAGCAGAGGGCTCAGAGGAGCCTGACAAAAGTTAGGTCAAGGAGAGAATCTTTGTCACCATGGCTCTCCCCTGCTCAAAACCCTTCAGTAACTCCTTATTGCTCTTTAAATAAAATCCCAACTCTTCTGCTGTCACACCAGATTTGACTTAACCGAATCTAAGAAAACTCCAATGAGAAGCTTATGCAAGTTGGGGGTTTCTAGCTCTGTCATGTTGAGAGAAGATGTGCGGATATGCGTAGGGCTGACACAGCAGATCTACAGTCCTCAAAGACTTTGGTGTCGCCTATATTCTTGCTTCAACATCCTTTAACACTTGGCTTCTAGCCTCAAGGTTGCCTAATGAGCCAAAACAGCTCCTGGAGATCCATCCATCACCCATCAGCATGTTCACTTAGGAGGGAGGGGCAAAAGAGTTTCTTCTCATCTCTCAAGTCTCAACACCGCTGTCTGGAGGAGCCCCGCCACTCTTTGGGCTGTCCTTAGAGTTCCCATCTAAACATTATTTTGTCTACCAGTTAATTTTCTGTCTCCCCAGTAGACCATAACTCTGGGAACACAAAACACTGTCCATTGGGCTCAGCTCCTACCTCCAGTCCCAGCCCTGCACAGAGTCCCTATAAGCATTCTTTTTTTTTTTAATATATATTTTTTAAATTTATTGGGGAACACTGTGTTTTTCCTAGGACTCATCAGCTCCAAGTCAAGTCATTGTCTTTCAATCTTAGTTGTGGAGTGTGCAGCTCAACTCCAAGTCTAGTCGCCGTTTTTCAATCTAGTAGCGGGGTGCCCGGCCCACCATCCCATGCAGGAGTCAGGCCAGAAACCTGTTGTCAAGAGCACGTGCTCTAACCAACTGAGCCATCCGGCCGCCCACTGGCAGCTCAGCAGCAGCTCAGCTGTCTTCAATCAATCTAGTTGCGGAGGGCGCAGCTCACTGGCCCATGTGGGAATTGAACCGGCAAAGCTCACGCTCTAACCAACTGAGCCACCTGGCCATCCTTATAAGCATTCTTGAATCCGTGACTGAATACACCAATGGATGCAACGAATGTGTGCCTGAAACCATTTCTAACAGAGCCCGTTTTCTCCTCTTCTCTGAACACACAGAAATGCGGAATGGGGAACTGGAGTGAAGCTCTTCTTTAGTCCTGCCCCCGGGGCTTCCAGGAGGGGTTCCAACAGGAAATGCCTGAGCAGCCTCCACAGAGGTAGGAAGGGCGTTTCAAGCAGTGGATCAGCATAATCGAAGGCCTCCCTCCAGCCCAGAGAGGTACCACCGCTCCCAAGAGGGCATTTTTGGGATGTGGTAGGGCCTCGAGGGTCATCCAACTGATTCCGGGGCACCCCTGGCATGGTGAGCCAGAGGCCAGGGTTATGGAGGTGCTGGAATGCTGGGCAGTCTTGCTTAAGGAAGAATCCCCCACAACATAAACAGCTTCCAGTACCCCACCCAACACATGTGTCAATGAAACACGACCTAGCTTCTGGGGGGTTTGCCCTGCTGCCAAGGACAAGATCAGACAAGGACTCTGCAGCATTTCCTGTTACCTTCTAATTCTTTCACCATTTGGGGAAGTCCACTGTACGTCTTCTGGAGTGTATGTTGGTGAGTGGGGTGAGGAGGGGCCTCATCCAGCTATGTTGAGTCAGGCGTGCAGGCTCTAGGGCCAGGTGGCAGGTGACTGGATTCTGCCCGTGTCCAGATCTAGGGGAACTCTTTCTCCACATCTTCCCAGAATGCCTCTTTCTGGTCATTACACATCAAATGAGAGGACCCTCCTCTGACCCTGAACCAAAGGTGGTGCCCTCCACCCCCCCTGCATCCGTCTGTCCCATCCCCCATCATGATCATTTCACCCTTTTTTCCATGTGAGCACATCTGGCATCTCCTTCCCCCACTACAACTTCCCCCAGGGCAGGCACCTCATCTGCCTTGCTTAGTTTTCTCTGCCTGACACGAAGGCAGTGCTCAATAAATGTACGTAGAAGAACTAAGGGCCGCAGCAGTGTCGTGGGATGTAGAGAGGCTTGTGGAGGATGAGGGGCCTGGTGGGTGACTCAGTTTCCCCTCCTATAAAATGGCGCTGGAAGACCCTACAGTTGAGAGGGAGCTGAAAACTCCACCGTGGGCCCGGTGAGGAGGCTCGTGGAGAAGGTGTCCTGCCCTCTGTCCTCCACCTGGGCTGATCTTGAAGCTGGAACCTGCTCAGGGTGAGGTCCAAGAGTGATTGGCTGAACGGGGGGAAAG